TACACATATCAATGTATATCAAGACAAATATAGATATGGGAACACGCAACAATAGGGTTCCAAAGGGTTACCAACAGAAATGGGACAAAAAGGTAGATATAGCGAACAATTCCACTTCATAGATTAGATCATGATGGTAACTGGGGCACACAGCCCCATGAAAACTGCGAAATGATGGGATAATACAAACTTTATGATCCTGGCACCAAGGCAACTGCTGTAAAACTATATTACAATAAAAACAGTAAAACACGGCGGAAAAAACTGGGTCCAGATTGTAGAACTGGGGGAGAACGGCAATAATATAATATAAATTTGCGCCGGAATGTTCATGCGATACGCTTGCTCCTGTATTGCACTACCTTCCCGCCACCCCAGCCACTTGCACATGCCTGATGGGGGGTAATGCGCAGGAACCTGTGTCAAACACAAGTTGTCTGTCTTCCAGCAGTATGAAGTCTGGTCTTATTTCACCGACTGCCTTTGCCATGCTTGCTAGTGCTAGTGATGTGGCAATCTCGCACCCGTGGACCTTTCACCCTGTAGCATCGTTCACATCACTTCTTAGTTGCTTGAACTTGGATGGAAGATGATGGAAGCACCTTTGATATGCCAAATCAAAGCGGGCTTGTTGTCTGGGTATATCTGGACACTGAATAAAACACAATTCATCACGCTAGTTATGCTTGAATATAAACACGGGCAGCAAGCTTGCTTCGATGTCATTCTATGTTCTTGATTTTCCTGGAATGGAGCCCGATGAACCACAGATCACCAAAGCTCGCCTTCCCCTGGCAAAGGTTTGTTTGCCTGCTTTGCCGCAGGTGATCCAACTGACGACGGCCTTGTCCTGTCGGGTTTTCAGCAGAAACACATGTCTCCTAAAGAGTTACCGTTTCATGTCTGAAGTAGCACGGTTTCATTGAAATGTTTTGCACTGTCTCCAGCGTCTGCTTGTCTGTTGGGCAATCTGGCTGATGCTAATGCAGCAAGTCAGTAAAATACGATCTTGTACGATATTTGACAATCCCGACACATCCTGGATATTCTGCGACGTCTACGATTATGATGTGCTTGTCATTTTTGCGATGCATTGCGATGTTTTGCTGTTTCACCCCCTTGCAGAATCACAGTTCCAAAATCCCTGTTCCACTTAGTGAGGCAAGCCGCTGTAATCTGCAACCCTGGGTCCTGGCTGAAGTCAATGACAACTCCTTTCCAGGAGGAGTCCTAGTCCAGGCAGAATGGGGTGGCGCTGCTTAGTTTGACACACCGCATCCTCATATCCACTGTCTCAAGCAGAGGATGCAATGCTCTGAGGTGCTCTAGGCAGGTTTCGATCCACTAAACTAAACTCAAATGTGTCCACCTCAACTGAAACCACAGACACATCGAAATGTTGCCATTTGCTTCGCTGGCATACCCTCAAAACGCAATCATTGCAGCCACTCAGAAAACACAACTCCAACCACCTTGGCTTGGGTTTGTGGTAGGTGCGGCTTTGAAGCTAGAGTTTCTTTGGGTCATGAAAGAACTTAGCTATAGATGCGGGGCACCGCCTTGTACCGAACATGTACTGACTTTACGGGTCATCCCAAGCTGCCAAGATCACCAAGCTGCCATCCCAAGCTGCCAAGATCACCACGCTGGACCCGATGAAATATCATACCGGCGGACCTGGTCCAAAACCCATATCCCTCCATTTGGTGGCAATCAGTTTGGGAAAGAAGGAACAATAACCACCAGCTCAACATTTTGGCCGCAATGCCAGGAGCACCCCTACCAAACCGGTGCCTCCTGCACCATGGGCGCCATGGACTTGTCCCCAGGAAGGGCGTCCAAGGCCATCATTCACAGGACAAAGCACGTGGACAAAGCAAGCCGCATGGCCTCACTTTGCATGGCGAAACAAGCCAGTATGTAATGCATGTTTTGTATGTAATGTATGTAATGTACCAAAGCCTCCCCGAGTTACGCACGGATGTAAATAAATAAATAAATATATATATATAATTATACATTATACATATATAGACGCCTGAATCGGAAATGATGGGAAAATCCAACCGACCAGGCCTGTATCACAACCATGCCTCACATACACGTGGGTGATCCGGCCATAGGTCGAGAACCTCGGAGGTAGAAAAGTTGAATATGTTTGACACTCGATAAAGATCACCTCCAATCATACTAGAAGACCTTTGTTCTCGTGTCGCGGACCACTGTATATGTAAATGAAGCATCACACAAAGGAAATGGGATCTAGATCGTCTATGGGATGACGAGAGATCTGTACAGCCCCATGTCACTCTTGATGTCTCCACCAAAAACATGGCGGAAAAACAGATGGGATTCCCTGCGAAAAGGGTCACGTTCAATTTGTTTTCAACCATTCAAGGAGTGGTGGTCAATGGAAAAATAGGCAAATAGAAAGCCAAACATCGACAAAATGACAAACCACATAGTTGTGACCAAATTCTTGGTTCTATCTCCCATTTCTTGGTTGTAGCTGCTTGGTTCTTGGTCAATGCCCCCGGTGACCCCGTCATCCATCGAGAAAGGTGGTATTTCGCACCCTCAAAAAATTAGGATATTTGTCACGACCCTCCAAGGTGGACCAAAATCTGTGCCTAGCGACGCCTGTCTCACCATCTCCTCCTGGCAGCCATCCGGCAATTCATTCCATCTTCCAGTCACACTGGTGCAAAAAACTAATCTATATATAAAGTCTTGACCGCCAACGATCTGAAGGCCCCATGATGGTAAGGTCTCCATCTGCTTGCAGAAACGCCCCTCCCCATCAGTGAACTCCGAGTGAATCCCCCATCCAAAAGCCTTGGTCATGCTTGGTTCACAGGTCATTTTTTCACCATCCACCCCAGCCAGCCTTGCTTCTTCTTTGGCCATTGGACTTTCAAAGGTTCTACGGAGCCTCACCGCAGAGCTCGAGAAACAAACGTGGCTGTCTCTGACGGATGGTCTTGGATGGCATTTGTCGGGCCAGTGATGGATGTACAGTATGGATGTCCTTCCTACAAAAAATTGGGGAGGAGATTGATCTTTAGACGTCATTTTTTTTTGGGAAAAAACATGACACAAGTGCCGGAAATCGGGAGTCTGAAGGTGTCCTGCTGGAGTCAGGACCAGCAACATGACAAGCAACACCCAGCAACACCCAGTTGGCTGAAAGAGCCTCAATATGAAACAACCGTTGGCCGTTGGGTTTGTGGTAGGTGCGGCTTTGAAGCTAGAGTTTCTTTGGGTCATGAAGGAACTTAGCTATAGATGCGGGGCACCGCCTTGTACCGAACATGTGCTGACTTTACGGGTCATCCCAAGCTGCCAAGATCACCACACTGGACCCGATGAAATATCATACCGGCGGACCTGGTCCAAAACCCATATCCCTCCATTTGGTGGCAATCAGTTTGGGAAAGATGGAACACACAAAAAGGAATGAAACCACCAGCTCAACATTTTGGCCGCAATGACAGGAGAACCCCTACCCCAAACCGGCGCCTCCTGGGCCATGGGCGCCATGGACTTGTCCCCAGGAAGGGCGTCCAAGGCCATCATTCACAAAACAAAGCGCGTGGACAAAGCAAGCCGCATGGCCTCACTTTGCATGGCGAAACAAGCCAGTATGTAATGCATGTTTTGTATGTTTTGTTGGCTGCCAATAATATTTGCGCGGCCGTTGGCGTCTTCTTGACAGAACCTCTGAAAAGACCCAGCTTAGCAATCCCCGAAAAGATAGAAAGGTGAAATCAAACTAAAATAGTAGTAAACTACTTTGCTATAATTGTTGGGGTTTAACTACCCTCCGGTAATCAAACATTGCAATTGGAAATCCCAGAACTAAGTGGAGGTTTATGGTTGGGAAAATCATCGAACTCAATGGTGATTTTCCAGCACACCATGTTCGAGTACCGCCGGATGTATGTATGGAGGTTTACCCAGGCAGGTGCCCCAAATCACCCAAGTCATAAAACCATTTTTGTATGACCCATGCACCCATGTGCCTCCATGATGCCGAACGCGCCGCGAAAGTTTCAAGCCACAAAATGGCTCCAGGAGAGAATTTTGGTGGAGACAAATTGACGTCATGGGTAATGGGTATCCCCCAATGTGAGAAGCTGTCTCATATACATGGATGGACATACGAACCATTTGGGGAACCCAAAGAAAATGAATGTACGATTCTGCCCCGGATACCTCTCATATCAAACGGATGCATTTCTTGTTCTTTCTGTATCTCTCTCTCACTCATATATATATGTATATTTATAATTATATATATATATGTTGTAATTGGTGCGGGCTCCTCTCACAGAAGGATCTAGGGGTTGTCAAAGGATATGATGAAGAAACCCTGTTCCAATCCACTCCAACCACTGACTTCCCAGCGATCTCCCTCTGTTGCTTTCTGCCACTGCACTTCTTGGATCAAAGCTGCTGCCGCACAACGATGGACGCCTGAGGGATTCGATGATTCTGCTGTCTGTATGGACACTCTGCTTTCCAGTGACCCTTTCTGTTGCAAGCTCTACAGTATGAATTCAAAATGCGGTCCTGCAGGCTACGTTTTTGTCGATTGGGCCAAGGAGCTTTGCCTTTGCCGCTGCCCTTAGCTGTGAGACCTCGGCCTGTGGCTGTGGTAAGCCTTTAAATCCGGCGATGTCCCTTAGGTAACACACATGGTTTTTAGATTTAGATGATTAACTTGACTGCTCAAGCTACCGGCATCCGATTTCTATGGGTGAAAATATCTTATTGGGGTAACCGTTCGGGTTATACAGTTATACATGAGTATCGTTCGGGTTATACAGTTATACATAAGTATCTATGGTCATAATCCCTATGGGATATCAAAGCACTTTACCTTTGAATGCTTTTGACATCTAGAGAGGGTGTGTCGGTATATCGCATTATATCCCTATTGGTTAAGTCACCATGTTTGATGGTTCAATCACCATTTCTCCAGATAGTGTTTTCCACATTTAGAGAGACCGCTGACGGACTGGCATCAGTTCTGCCTGCGCCGGGACTGGCATCAGTTCTGCCTGCGTCGACTCGGATTGGTAGCGGCACCGCACCCAAGGAGTGAACGCTGAGGCAACGTGCTCTTGCCTTGCAACGAGCTCGGGGTGTGCCAAATGACTATGACTCAAAACCCTGTCAACCTACAATGTGGGCTCCAAATGCTATGATGAATTATTATTTTGTTGGTCTATATATAATAAGTTTTCAGACGTTCGGGTTCCGTGGCAAAGTCTCAACAATGGGTGGTTAACCATGGGTATAACCATAAAACATGTGGCTAAGCATGAAAAAATGGGACTGAAACACTCAACAGTAGGAACATAACTGGCATGTATAACTGTTGGGCTTATGGTGGATCCATGTGCAGCCCATGCGGATTCAGCCCTGAATCCAGCAGCCAGTTTCTGGTAAAATTCTGGGGATATACTGGTTGAATCCCCATGATATCAGCGGGGAATACGTCGTTCACATCTTGAAAAAGCCAACGTTGTATCGGTCGCAACTTGGTGGTATCCCAACGTCTTCTATTTGATTTTACAAAAAGCCGCTTTTCGTAAATGTCCTGCCACTCATTTGTATCCCAGTCGGTACAGCTTCCGCAACAAAATCTATCAGAGTATCCAACGACATGTCTTGCCGGTATTTTCGTGGATGCAATGTAGTACAGGATAGCAAGTGAATAGTGGTGCTATTCAAAACAACTGTATCCAATACAATTTGTGCTTTTTCCCGAGAGCGTCTGAGCGCAGGGTTCTTCCAATAGTGGGGGTCTGTAAAACATCTTCTCATCTTCACATCCTCTCATCTTCACATCTTCTCATCTTCACATCTTCTCATCTTCACATCTTCTCATCTTCACATCCTCTCATTTCACATCCTCTCATCTTCACATCCTCTCATCTTCACATTTTCTCATCTTCACATCTTCACATCTTCTCATCTTCACATCTTCTCATCTTCACATCTTCTCATCCTCCCATCTTCTCCTCATCTTCTCATCTTCACATCTTCTCACATCTTCTCACATCTTCTCATCTTCTCACATCTTCTCACATCTTCTCACATCTCCTCCCATCTTCTCCTCATCTTCTCATCTTCACATCTTCTCACATCTTCTCACATCTTCTCACATCTTCTCACATCTTCTCATCTTCTCACATCTTCTCACATCTTCTCACATCTTCTCACATCTTCTCACATCTTCTCACATCTTCTCATCTTTACATCTCATCTCACACCTTCTCCTCTTGCCCTCTTGCCCTCTTGCCCTCTCCTTCTTTTCTATTTCTCTCTTGAAGGCGGGAGCAGGGGCAGTGCCAACGAGACGGCACGAAACGCAACCCTTTCGCACGAAATGAAGTTCGATCGCCAAAAACTGAGGTAAAATTGCGATTTCAACTTGTCCGGCGCAACCCTTTCGCACGAAATGAGGTTCGATCGTCAAAAACTGAGGTAAAATTGCGATTTCAACTTGTCCCGCGCAACCCTTTCGCACGAAATGAGGTTCGATCGCCAAAAACTGAGGTAAAATTGCGATTTCAACTTCCCTTTCACACGAAATGAGGTTCGATCGCCAAAAACTGAGGTAAAATTGCGATTTCAACTTGTCCCGCGCAACCCTTTCGCACGAAATGAGGTTCGATCGTCAAAAACTGAGGTAAAATTACGATTTCGTGTTTCCGGTGGACTGTTTTGCACGAAATGAGGTTCGATTGTCAAAAACTGAAGTAAAATTGCGATTTCAACTTGTCCCGCGCAACCCTTTCGCACGAAATGAGGTTCGATCGGCAAAAACTGAGGTAAAATTGCGATTTCAACTTGTCCCGCGCAACCCTTTCGCACGTCTCTTTCGCACGAAATGAGGTTGGATCGCCAAAAACTGCAGTAAAATTGCGATGTGTGTAAAAGCGTCTGTGTGTAAAAGCGTCTGTGTGTAAAAGCGTCTGTGTGTAATAGCGTCTGTGTGTAAAAGCTTCTGTGTGTAAAAGCGTCTCTGTGTAAAAATGTTTGTGTGTAAAACTGTTTGTGTGTAAACTTTTGTGTGTAAAAGCGTCTGTGTGTAATAGCGTCTGTGTGTAAAAGCTTCTGTGTGTAAAAGTGTTTGTGTGTAAAAGTGTTTGTGTGTAAAAGTCTCTGTGTAAAACCATCTGTGTGTAAAAGCGTCTGTGTGCAAAAGCGTCTGTGCATGTCTGTGTGTAAAAGTCTCTGTGTGCAAAAGTGTTTGTGTGTAAAAGCGTCTGTGTGTAAAAGCTTCTGGGTGTAAACGTCTCTGTGTGTAAAAGTGTTTGCGTGTAAAAGTGTTTGTGTGTAAAAGCGTCTGTGTGTAAAAGCGTCTGTGTGTAAAAGCGTCTGTGTGTAAAAGCTTCTGTGTGCAAAAGCGTCTGTGTGTAAAAGTCTCTGTGTGTAAAAGTGTTTGTGTGTAAAAGGGTCTGTGTGTAAAAGCGTCTGTGTGTAAAACCCTCTGTGTGTAAAAGCGTCTGTGTGTAAAAGTCTCTGTGTGGAAAAGCGTCTGTGTGTAAAAGCCTCTGTGTGTAAAAGCGTCTGTGTGTAAAAACGGCTGTGTGTAAAAGCTTCTGTGTGTAAAAGCGTCTGTGTGTAAAAGTCTCTGTGTGTAAAAGTGTGTGTGTGTTTGTGTGTGTGGACCATCTGAAAAGATGTAAAACTTCTAAACATCCTTTATAAAGCAGGGGGTAGCGGCAGATCATTTGGGACCGCTACCAACGAAGACACCCATTTGATCTGGTGATACAGAGTGGGACGCCAATCTGCGTACGTGCACCAATTTTTCATTTCCGTCAATGGCAACCGGCCAAGCCAAGAACCGGCACGTCGATATTTTCCACTTGAGGGTTGTCTACTGCACTGTTGTCGCAATCTGGATTTATTTGGTTATTTACAACTGGTTCAGCTGCATCAGAACCTTCCTCAGAGCAAGGACGTAGAAAGCTTACTTCGCACTGAAATTCACGCTGGATCAACTAATTTTTTCCTGGCAGTTTGTAAGGGATTGTTTTGTGCACGTGTGATGCATTCCACAACAAAATTCGCAATGTTGTTTCTGAGCAAGTGTGTCATTCCTGCTGTATACGTCAAGTTGGCAGGAACCCTTCGGGGAAAGCCTTTCCAGGCTAACAATTGACAGTAAATCGATGTCTGAATTTACACTTTTGAATTAGTAATTCGTTTAAGTAAAGTGAACTGCTGGCCTTTTTTCGCTTTTCACCCTGTCGTTGTCGTTTGGTTGAACAACTGGCCGCCGTGGGGCTTCAATTTTTTCAGTGGACTTCTCACTGCATAGCCTGAAGCTGCGACAACCTTCTTTTTCAACGTTGCTCGAGAGCTTGACAGACAAGATACATCATGACATGGATCCATGTGGAGGCGTCAGGACATGCTTTAGGTGTGGTTTTCTTTCTTTTGATGGTCGTTGGTGAGGTTCAATTGTGCACGTAATTCAGGGGTTGAACACGTAAGCCGTCCAGAGGGTTGTGACTTGAAAGCCGAGGGCCTTTGAGCCTTATCACGAATACTGCATGCGTTGCGGATGCATCATGTCATTAACTAGTTCCCCATGGGTCCCTATTTCATGTGTTCTTGCGTTCTCCTCTCTCCAGGTAGGTTTGGCCCGTTGCGTGCTGAGGTTGTTGTAGGTTTTCGCCGTGTCAGGTTGGTTCAGGCGCTTCTGTCCTCCCCCTCCTCCGCTGGTCTTGTTCCGTTTTCCGTCGGCCTCCGCTTTTCTTTTCCCTTGCCTTTCCAGGGTTGCCCGTTCTGGGCTAGGTTTCTTGTGTTGGTGTTTGCTCTTTCCCTCTTCTTTTGCGTTCCCCTCTTTGCGTCCTGGTTAAGTAACTTTCATCTCATTGTCATCTTCACCTCATTTTCATTTCCCTTTTTTTTTCATTTTCATCTCATTGTCGGGACCTCAGTTGCCAAAACAGCCTCGCGGCAGCGAGGCGTGTGTGTGGACCATCTGAAAAGATGTAAAACTTCTAAACATCCTTTATAAAGCAGGGGGGCAGTGCACGACTGACAGACACTGCCCAACGAAGACCACCCATTTGATCTGGTGATACAGAGTGCGGACGCCAATCTGCGTACGTGCACCAATTTTTCATTTCCGTCAATGGCAACCGGCCAAGCCAAGAACCGGCACGTCGATATTTTCCACTTGAGGGTTGTCTACTGCACTGTTGTCGCAATCTGGATTTATTTGGTTATTTACAACTGGTTCAGCTGCATCAGAACCTTCCTCAGAGCAAGGACGTAGAAAGCTTACTTCGCACTGAAATTCACGCTGGATCAACTAATTTTTTCCTGGCAGTTTGTAAGGGATTGTTTTGTGCACGTGTGATGCATTCCACAACAAAATTCGCAATGTTGTTTCTGAGCAAGTGTGTGCGAGTAAAAGCGTCTGTGTGTAAAAGCGTCTGTGTGTAAAAGCGTCTGTGTGCAAAAGCGTCTGTCTGTAAAAAGTTCTGTGCGTGAAAAACTTTTTGAAAGATACGATGCAAAAGATACGATGCCATATAATATTGTCTTGATACTACTCTTCTCGTCTGCCTGTAATACATCTTTAATATATTGTCTTGTAATATTGTGTCGCCATACTAACAGCAGAAGAAGACTCTGCTCCTCTACGCTCTCGGGCCATCCGTCGTCTAGTTCCAGTAGTTCCTGTACTTTCGTGATTTTCGGAAATTGGACTGTATCATGTTGTATCCAATGCGGTATCTGGACTGTATTCATTGTCTTGGACAACGAGTGAGCAAGGGAATTCTCGGAAAGTGTCATGTATTGGATGAGTATCTTGTTAGCACTTTATGTGATCTTCGTTTGTAAAGACTGAAAATGCTTCTGTTCAGCAACTCTCCTCATAAACGCCTTGTTTGTATCCCATTTTCATCCACTTTTCATGGATCCAAGCCACTTCCTATCATCCCAGCTGCCTTCTCAGTAACTCTGGGCTTCCAGGCAAGCCCGTGTCGCTCATGTAGCGGCCAAAGCGTTTCCTCGCTGGTAACTAGTTGGCCGTGGCAAATCCTATGGCAGTTGGGCAGTTACAAACCCAATTGTCTTCCGCCAAACCGTTATCCTGGGAGCCATGTGTGCACGCGAATGTAACCATCATGACAAACAAATGGTTCATAGGGATGCACGTCGCCCTGCACTGATAAACATGGATAACCCCCATGTTTAGCCTGTGAAAAGGCGCAAAAATTGGATTCCTCTTTTCCATTAATGTCCATTGATGGCTCTCAAAAACATTGTGTCCTTCTACAACTCGCACCTGTCAGGTGGGAGTATAGAGGATTTGCCTGGAATCCGTTGATGTGATGTCCTTCAAATCTCATCTGAAAAATTGCTGATTTGCTGATTTTTGCCCTTGCTCCTGACTTAGTATACTAAGATATACTAAGTCACTGGCGTTTTGACATGTTTTGACTACCCATTTTTCGTTGCGTTTTGATCCGGTCCTCTGCGGCGGCGTCCACCTGGGGACGGCTGGCCCCCATGGAATTCACCGTGATGATGGGATAAGTGTAGTGGATGTACTAAACTTGATATACTCAACTTGATGTTCATGGGATATCTCTCTATAATATTATAAAATCAACTTCATATGCTGAAGTTGGGGTGGATGTGATTCAAAATGGGGTGTTCTTAAAATATTGCAAGTTCAAGTGGAAACATGCTGATGAACCAGTGGACTTCTGCGGTATGTGCCATGGTCAAAATGTGGTGGAGGCCCTTGATTATCCAACCATCAGTAAGGATACCTTTGTTTTTCTGGGTCTATAAATCCCTCTGGGAAATGAATGGATGACCATCCCCCAAAGATCTCCTAAGATACGAACATGAGATATCCCTGATTCTGCAAACAAAAATATTTCCATATCACATCTGCCCATTTCTATTTGAAATCAACCCAGGTTCAGGCGAAAACGGAACCTCGCCCGCTCCTACGGTCTGACCGTGCACCTCTTTTGAGAAACACGTTGCAAAAACAAGCGGGTAAATCTCTGGTTGGTGGTTTTAACCATATTGAAAAATATTAGTCAATGGGAAGGATTATCCCATATACTATGGAAGATAAGAAATGCTCGAAACCACCAACCAGTAGTTGATTGATTTGTTGATGACGCTAATTTTCAATAAACTTGCAATATCAAAAACAAATCTTGACTTGTCTCACAAGGACACCAAAGCTGAACGACTTTTCTATTTTGTACATCACAAAATTTGAATGAAGACTATAGAAACAGGAAAACCGACATCTCCAACATGGATAGTTCAAATCATACCCTCTGGTAATTTGTTAGAGTTTGCATCATCAAACATGACCATAGTTAAATAGCTGATTTACCTATAATTGGTATTTCGATTTACCTATATATAATAGTTGATTTTACCTATATGTTTTTTTAAACACCTATATTAATAAATAGTTGGTTTACCATGGTTTACCTATATTATTATAGTTGATTCACCATGGTGATTTTCCCAAGCTAAATTCTTGCTTTACCACAGCCATGGCATCATCCCAGGGCGCCCAAACACGGTGATGGGGCACAAAACCTGGTGGGACCGCTGTCTGCACGCGCTGAAAATGGGATCCCCAAAATGACCATTACAAAGGGAATATGATCATTAAGCAATAGGTTTTAGATTTTAGTATTCCATGATATTCCCATCTCAAACAAACTAGCAATATGTTTTTTATAAACGGTTTAACCATGAAAAATAGGACTTGAACCACTCAACAATGGATTTTGGGGCCCCAGTTCGGCCAAGAGTTGGGGGCCACAACTGGAGTCATTAGGGCTACGGTTGTTACAACTAGATACGGCTAGGTCGTTAGATGAGATTGTAGACCAACTTACAACTGAGGTAGACCCACCTTGCATGCTTTTGATCATCGGGAATCATTGGGGGTTATCATCATTTTGGTGGCAAATGGAATCACTATTTTGGAGGGTACCTCTGATCCTTCATCAACCAGGGTTTCTTAGTCCAGGGTTGACATTAGGTCATGAACCTCTGATAACATACTTTGGGATAGGTCCCCTGTTACAAACCATGAAGAATTGATCATCCACATGATATCCATCGTTTCTCAGTCATCTTAGGTTCCTCTCTGATGGCTCCTCCGATTCGCACTGTTCTCCCTGACATTCCAATGCCTGCCCAATGGTCATACTGAAGCAGGTTGGCAATGTTCCATGATGTTCCCATATTTAACAAACACATCCAATGTCTCACATGATGTTCCAATGTTTTCCTACGATTTTGCAATATGTATATATATATATATATGTTCCTGCTGATTTTCATAAGATTTCACAACTCCATGGCTGGAAAAAATCATCCATTCACTTTCATGATTTTCCCATTACGACCTTCATGTACAGCGGCATATTACTCTCCTAACAACCGGTTAATTTGGAGTTCTACTTAGTTCTTGCAGGATTTCCCAGGAAACTTGTATTGATTACAGCAAGGTAACCTCTCTACTGTATCCCCATTAATCTCATTTAATCTCCCCATCATCACCCCGTCATGGTTGATTCTAGATCCCCATTCTCCTATTACGCGTGGTTCTATCACTATCATACTAATATTTATATCTCCTTTAAAATCCCATTAAAACCCTATTATCCCATGATATCCAACAAAAATCCGATATCTATGCATACACATGCAAAATCTATAGTGAAAAAACATCTCTCATAATATCATACATATAAATCAGTTCCAAAGCAACTCTTCCACACCCAGCTCGGCCTCCGGTGCGATGCCCATGGAACTGTCGATAGCGAGCTCCCACCTATAGACCCAGCTAGGTGTTGATTTCCTTTTCTGAGATATGTTGGGAATCAAAGTTGTGTATGTGACATAATATTTTCTTTTTATAACTTTATTATCCAACATAAGTATGTCACATCTTTATAACCTATTCTATCATATTATATCACATATCAACTCATAAAGGGTGTTCTTTTCAATCATGGGAAACCATGTAACATCTTGATCACCTATTATGACACCTATTTTGACCTTGTGATTAAAATAAATGGGCTGTAATTATACTAGGTGCCTGTGCCGGATGCTCATCGCAGTGTATCCCACTACGAGTATAATGTCAAATGTTGGAAAATTCTGCGACCAAGTGGGTTCCTCGGGGGATGCTATGACATATACACACATAGATACACATTTTCCTTTCAGTGCACCAAAGCGAAAATCGAAAACACATTGTGAATGTATTATTGATAATGCATCACTATTGTAATTCAATAGATGCACATTATCCTTTCATCAACAATGAACATACTTCTGTTAATAACATCATTGATTCCAGCCATCGAAGTTTCACAGAGGAAATCTAAGGTTGGTGCGACTGCTGTAGCACCAAAGTCATCTTCAAACTCTTTATCGTCTGTACAGTCTTCAAACTTGGTCGGAGCAAGAACCATCTCAAATGATGGAAACAAACACCTGCACCCATGAACGAATCCAATCATCAAACGACCACCTCCAATCACAACCGGGCGTTTTTTGATAATAAGTGGATTAATAGACTACAAGAATCAAATATCTATATAAGTGGATTATTGAATAGCAAAATTTCCTAAAATTCTAACTCAACAAACCACCTCCAACCATAAACATGGGAACCATTTTTGACCCAAACCCAAAAATGGTCACCAACAAAAACAACGCCCGCAAATATAGAAAAACACGAAAAGAAGCAAACACAAGTATAAAGGTATATATATATATATAAATAATCACAGTAGATTAAACACATATAGCCACATCACACCAAACCAATATTTTAGCATAGGACGTAGGATCTGATGTACTGATGTTTGTTTGTTTTAAGGCTCGCTCTAAACGGGATGAACCAACCACTTCCCGAGGGCGATCGATCAGCGCAAATTTGGGCGCCGCACGCGGAGATGTCTTTGCTGCCACGCCTCCATAGCACAGGGGGATATGGTCATATTTTGAAGCTATACACATATAAACTCATATACACATATATATATATATACATATATATATATATATATCATACAACTCACTTTGTAAGTGATTTAAAGACCATTAACATCATTGCTATATAGAAGTTACTATGTATATATATATATTATAGATATATTGTATATTACTCGGGAGAACGCTACATATGAGTGGCTTAAATGCTGCGGTGATTCACAACTCCCGAAAACATTTCCCCAAGAGGGATGGTCGCCACCAGGACAGGCTTCCCATTTTTATGGGGCCTATCTTCAGTCCGAAAACAACAACATACCTGAGATCTACAATCTACAGTAAATCTTTTGTTTCTATTCATTTTATGCATTCAGATCATTCATGCTCCAAATTCGTCTCATGGGAAAGTTTCAGTCATGCCCTGCAAAACACCAATGTCATTGAGGATCATGCGCTGCCAGCTAGGGAAGACATGTCTATAACAACAGACATGTAATAAGGTATATACATAATTACTTTACTTCGTGTGATCCCCACCATGACATTTATACATTTTCTTACTGGCAAATCTTCTGGCAGTCTATCTGACATATCTTCTGACATTCTATTTGGCATTCTATTTGGCATTCTATCTGGCATATCTTCCGGCATATGATCTGGCATATCTTCTGGCATTCTATCTGGCAAATCTTCTGGCATTCTATCTGGCATTCTATCTGGCATTCTATCTGACATATCTTCTGGCATTCAATCTGGCATTCTATCTGGCATGTATTCCGACATATCTTCTGGCATTCTATCTGACATATCTTCTGGCATATATTCTGACATATCTTCTGGCATATCTTCTGGCATATCTTCTGGCATATCTTCTGACATATCTATCTGGCATATCTTCTGGCATATTTTCTGGCATTCTATCTGGCAAATCTTCTGGCATTCTATCTGGCATTCTATCTGGCATATCTTCTGGCATATTATCTGGCATTCTATCTGGCATATCTTCTGGCATATATTCTGACATATCTTCTGGCATTCTATCTGGCATTCTATTTGGCATTCTATCTGGCATATCTTCTGGCATATCTTCTGACATTCTTTCTGACATTCTTTCTAACTTTCTTCTGCACATTCTTTGTCCCATATCTTCCTACATGAGTTCCGGCAGGGAACACTTGGCGTGGATACTCGCGGTTGAGGTCCGGCAGGGAACACTGGGCGTGGATGGTCGTGGTTGAGGTCCGGCAGGGAACACTGGGCGGGGATACTCGCGGTTGAGGTCCGGCAGGGAACACTGGGCGGGGATGGTCGTGGTTGAGGTCCGGCAGGGCACACTGAGCGTGGATGGTCGTGGTTGAGGTCCGGCAGGGCACACTGAGCGTGGATCGCGGTTGAGCAGGAGGAGGAGGAGGAGAGGAGAGGAGAGGAGACGAGGAGAGGAGACGAGGAGAGGAGGAGGAGAAGGAGGAGGAGAAGGAGGAGGAGGAGCAAGCAACTGAAATAAAATCTAACAACCCTCACCTGGCAGGTGGGGAAAAACATATAACAAGATTGAAACTAAAATCATATCTCGCTGTGTCATGGTTTCCTCCTCCCCATCCTTGGGTGGAAGCTTGACTGCCAACGGCGACACTTTTTGCCTCGAAAATGAAACTTGAAACGTGTCTTGGGCAAGGGCCTGAAATGGCCCGCGCAAAACCTTCACCCAAGAGCATTGCGAGACGGACATCTTCGTCTTTAACTAACAAAACATGCACGAAAGTGGGCCAGGGCGCGCCTATATGGTGAAGGGTTTGCTGTTTCTCCAAATCATACTATATCCACCCCTTCTTCCAGCGTTAGCAGGTCTGGCCAGTGGCAAGCGTTGAAAAGCTGGGTCCCCTTGGGACATCTTCGTGATATTTCCACTCAAAAAGATTCCAAAAGTTGTATCACTATGTTGCATCCACGTGTTGAACAACAACCTTTTTCAAGAGGACCCAGTTTTTCAAACTCTTCCGGGCTTTCAGCCAAAGTGGGCCCAACTACACCTGCGATTTGCTCCCAAATTTCAGGGCCAAAAAACCAATGCTGGAGAAGAGGGTGTAGAAACACCAAACCTGGGCAGCTGGGCAGCTGGAGGTGTTGGACCTTTTTTTCAAACAGAAATGGTGTTCAATGATGGTTTAATGTTGGTTGAATGGTGTTTCTTGATGGTGTTTTGATGGTGGTTGAATGGGCATATTATAAGATTCTTCATGGATTTAGCCCCCGGTAATGTGGCTGGAAAATCCCACAATTTTCTTCGATGATTGTCCTATCAAAACTTCCGTTTCGAGGATTTTCCAGCCACGTTTGATTACCATACCGGGTACGCATCTGGTTCTGGAAAATTGGGGGCAACACCTGGACGTCCACGCCCAGAAAAACCTATCTCCCGATGGGCTTCTTGGAAAATGGAAACCTGGCTTCTGGCTTGTGGTCACAACCCCTCAGAAAAAAAATTGTTGTCATTGCGATCCGTCCCATTTCCATCATTTCTACGGCTATTTTTTTTTCAAACCATCAGTTGAGCACATCTAACTGCCATGGGCAGGGTCCCCGGCTGTCAAACGGCGAGCCTTTTGGTGGCTTCAACCCCACAGAAATTGTTGGGTACCATGATAAAAAGCAAACATCTTTAAAACCAGGAATCAGAATATAAAATACCACTATATGAGCACCCACAATCAACAATCCGAATATAAATCGGAGGTTTGTTGGCAGCGTATTTCAATATATTAGGCCAAAAGGATTTGGCAAAAAAAACAGCTTAAACAGAGCCTCGCAGGTTCCAAGTTGGTTTTGGACATCAAGCCATCAAACTGGGGCACCACCAGCCGAACACCCAACCTTTCGAGGAACAATCAGGAAACAACTCTCTTTGTGCAACGTGTACGTTTCATCACCTTAGCACTTCCGGCAAACGTCTGACACTGTGAGAATTCTGGGCCATCTCGGTACATCTGGGCGACAATACTTCGTTAAAATTCAATCCTCAGATGTATAAATGATATGAATCCTTAAGACCTGTGATTTTGACTTCGAAAGGCCGTGATTATGGGATCGACGCAACTGACACTTCAGGATGGACCTTACCTATAGCTGCCATGGCCAATGCGATGGCTGCTCCACTGAGTCACTGTTGCGGTCTTGGCAGAGCGCCAAAGCCCACAAGCCAACGACATTTTCTTTGGGGGGTTCAAATGTACCAACTTCCTGAACATGTTATAAAGAAGAAATGCTTGGGATGATTCTCGGCGGCGCCAAGGCACCATAGTCATAGTGTATTAAGAAACCTTCGATCGCACGCTCTCCAGCAGGATAACCTTGCTCCATGGTATCTTGGAACTCGACCTGTGACCAGTTGCAGAAACCAAAGTCCATTTGGATCATGATGACGAAAATTGGCGGAGACTTTTCACATGTGTTTGAACCACCAACATCCACCAACCAAAAAACATGTACATATACATGTGTATGTATATACATATAGCTTATATATATATAACTTAATATATACACCCTGGTTATTTAAGATAGCCATGGTATAGATGGCCCATTTATAGATGATTTTCTTAGCTAGATACCTCCATTTATGAAGGATTTTTCCGATGGGTTGGCTCCTGGGAAAGCCTACAGGCCATCGTCGACTGCGGCAGGACCCAGCGATGAGTGGATGTGGCTCGCCACATTTCAATAGCGATGGTATACCCCCACTGATAGCTGGGTTATAAGCCACGAACTGCTTGGGGCTGCAACTCCACTTACTTTGGGCTTTCTGGGATTGTGAAAAGTATGTAAAAGTTGTGTCCTAACTTGTGGAAGTGAGCTCACCAAGGTTCTAGCAATCCCCGACAAGACAGGAAAGTTGGAAACCTAGAACATGAGGTTGAAAACATAATCTTATCACGTCCTGGAAGCACTTTTTGGCATCTGTTCATGGGGGTTGCTGGTGGGGCCTCCCAGTTGCAAGTTGGATTACATTACATATAACACCAGTCAACTATAGCTATAAATACCAAAAAACACCCAAAACATCCCACAAGCCCATTTAACCCAGGTATACCTGGGATTCCAAACTGTAGCACCTTGTACCCTAACCTAACCGCACCTCAATGAGCCCTGCCATGGAGAAATACATGAAGGTGCCCCATCGGATCCAGGCCAGATATGGCGTCACCGTGCAAACTTTCACCACGATGTTGGCAAACAACATGCAGACCTGGTTGGTTTATTTCGGTGACGAGAAAATGCTGAGAAATTCAGCTGGTTGGTGGTTTTTTCAACCTACGAAAAATGATGGAGTTAGTTGGAATGAAATTCCCAACTGAATGGAAACATGATAAATTCATGTTCCAAACCATCAAGCAGTGAGAAATTCATTCAAGTTCTGGGAAAGCGAGTGAAATTCTAATGACAACTGCACGCGCTTGGATGGATGGGAAGGCTAGACCTTTGACAGTGGGTTTGCGCATGATCCATATGTTGCAATACCAAAATTGGCACGAATGCAAAACCCATGGCCTTTGGGGCTAGAAAAATGTCATGCAAAGCTGGAATGATTTTTCATAAACGTTGGGTGCCCGGATTGCAAGCGTATTCTCGCGAGTGTTGCTCATTAGAAAATTGTTGGAAATCAAAACTTGTTTGTAGATGATGTTCAGGGATGTTCAGGGGACATTTCAAGCAACTTGGACGCACCTACCACACGTGAGCTCAATTCTTGAAGCCTTTGGGAAGGGAATTTCCACCGAAAACATGACATGATACCCTGGGGCGGCCTTTCCACATCCTTTGGCTCCAAGACAGGGGCTAGTGGCTGATGTGGAAAACATGAACCACCACTTGGGGATGATTCAAATCCCCCGTTTCTGATGAATGTTGGAAATTGAGTGTAGTGTATCCTAAGTGTATACCCCCTTTGCTGGATGAAATGTCGGATTGAATTCTTTTTTTCCAATGATGCAAGTTGAATGCTTCCCCAAAAACTATCATTTGCACATGTTCATAGATTCTCCTAGAAGGATGGGCCCCTGGCCATTGACATGAACCCGAATCAGACACAACCGCAGTCCAGTGGCGATGATGTAGCCCGCACTGAGCACAAATGCCACATCCTGGAGCCAAGTTGTGGCTGTGGATCGCTGAGGTATCAACCCATGGTAACTTCATAAAGTTTGAAAGAAACGATGAACATATCTATTTTCAAACTACAGCTTCAACTTGGAACCATGATGAGTCATATGGAATATATCATATATTATATGTACCTATGATTTCATATGCAGCTTGAAATCATGTAGCTTGGAATCAAACATATTCTATTCAGATAATATGAAATCATATGCAGTGGGTCTCATCCTTTCTCATCCTTCCTCATCCTAATTGATCTAATTGGTGATGGAATCATATAATGATAATTAATTATATATATATATAGAATCTTATATTATCATATGTATATAGCTACACACACATATATAAATAAATATATATATGTACACATAATGACACCATTCATTTAATATGACATCACCTTCAAATGGTGTCCTGGTTGGGCGCCAAGCGTGCGCACATCTGAACCAGGGCGCTCGAGCACATGTGGTGTGAGACCTGCGCGGTGATCTTGGGCGCCCGGATATGGTGATTTCATGGGATCGGAATGGGGATATCATGGTGTATCAGGGGATATCATGGGAGATTATATGAATATATATAAATATATAAATATAAACATGAGAGAGAGAGAGAGAGAGTAAGTAGAGGGAGTCAGATAGATAGATAGATTAGATTAGATTAGATTAGATTCGATTAGATTAGATTTAGATTTAGATTAGATAAGTAGATAGATAGATAGATAGATAGGTAGGTAGATAGATAGATAGATAGATAGATAGATATACATGTTATATATAATCATCAGCTATTAAACGTAGCGAATCGACTGGATATGGTTATTATATGTTATTATTAGGATCATAGCATCATTAAACATGAAATATAGGGTTTATCATGGGGAGATATTCATCCTCAACCAACTGGATGGGTAGAAATCACCAGCCAACCTCCACTGGTCCAACCAGCAAAAGATGATATTTTTTGGCTACCAAAGATTGACCAATATGGATCCTATAGATCGTGGGACAAACGAACTCCCGAACTGTCCTGAAAGTTGAGATCCCGATCTACATATTCTACAGATCCCACCACTTTCTCTGTGTTTCGCTTCTTGATCATATTAAGTTCTCTCACTGTCCCAAGTAGATGCAAGAGGATTCTATTGATCCCGGGGATGGACACCATTTTTGACCTCACCAGCTTCTGGATCCATGGCCCAAACCTCGGATTACTTTTTAAATAGTGATTTTTCATTTACCCGAATTTCCTGCAGCTTTTCAACAGATTCTTCCAAGGCTGCGCTGCCGCCGAAAAACCAGGAACGCCATGGTCGAAAACCACTGCCCGCTCAAGGGGAGCCCTGCCAAATAAGTGGCCTCGGTTCCAGCTGCAGTGCCTTGAATCCAGAAGCCAAAACTTTCGCAGTTTGCCGTGTAGGATCAACTTCCTGCAGAAAACCATGTTCCAAACCCATGGTTTGAAACTTCCATGGTAGTACTGTTCAGCTGCCGGCAATGTGGATCAACTGCTCCGAGTCACCCTTGGGAAAAAACACAATAGATGGTTCAATATGTTCAAATAAGCCATTTTCGAATGGCATTCGAGAAAAAGCCTTGAATATTCTTGAATCCGAAACATGACCCTGCGGTGGTTGGTGGGGTCTCCGGGGTTCAACACGATTGCAGCAAGAGGCAATGCCGGAGGCCAGAACGCCATTGATGGCACATACCACTGCCTCCAGCCATGAAAGGTTAAGCTTCGCGAAACAGGTGGCAATTGGTTGATTCCATTGACATCATTAGCTTGCATGCATATCATATCCCCGTGTGGTGCACCTCTCCACCCGGAGCCAAGGTTTTCCGCCAGAAAACGGGCAGAATCCCTAGTAACCAAGGTTCATGTGACCAGGGGCTGAAAAGGGGTACCTTACATTTCGGATATTTTTAAGATAAAGGCTGCCCCAAGGGAAAAAACCTAGGTCCCAACATGCCAACATAAAACCCAACAAAAGGCCAAAAACCTAAGGTGCTACAAAAGCACATTTTTCTTGCTCCCCACGACCCCGCTCCCACACCATGGTTTAACCGAGCTTTGTCACTCCGCAATCTAGGCCCAACTCCACCCCGGAGTGCTGACAGCTTCTGACTTCAACCCCATTTGAATCTACAACCAAGATCCCAGCCCCCAGGTTTTTAGCCCCGCTATTCAATCTTGTGGGAGTGAACAAAAATTTTATCGAATCATCATGGTTGCTCTAGATTTGTTTGACACAAGATACACAAGGAAAAGTCTTGACCCATGGCCCTAAGGTTTTCACTCCAAAGTCTGCGCCCACCTCCACCCCGGAGTGCTGATAGCTTCTGACTTCAATCCAATTTGAATCTACAACCAAGATCCCACGCCCCCAGGTTTTTAGCCCCGCTATTCAATCTTGTGGGGGAGAACAAAAATTTTATCGAATCATCATGGTTGCTCTAGATTTGTTTGACACAAGATACACAAGGAAAAGTCTTGACCCATGGCCCTAAGGTTTTCACTCCAAAGTCTGCGCCCACCTCCACCCCGGAGTGCTGATAGCTTCTGACTTCAACCCCATTTGAATCTACAACCAAGATCCCACGCCCCCAGGTTTTTAGCCCCGCTATTCAATCTTGTGGGGGTGAACAAAAATTTTATCGAATCATCATGGTTGCTCTAGATTTGTTTGACACAAGATACACAAGGAAAAGTCTTGACCCATGGCCCTAAGGTTTTCACTCCAAAGTCTGCGCCCACCTCCGCCCCGGAGTGCTGACAGCTTCTGACTTCAATCCAATTTGAATCTACAACCAAGATCTTTCAACATCTCTCACGCATCCTGTTCAAAATCTTCCTTCATGTTTGTGATGTGAGAAATATTTGTGATTTTTCATCTTGCATCATCATCATCATCATCATCATCATCATCATCATCATCATCAGGGTCGAAAACGTGGGAACAACATGTTGGACTAGTTGTCCTCTAAAGGCGAAAAACTTGGGTCACCACAATACAATGATTTTTTATAATCACCATGTTCCCGGGCTAAAAACCTAGAACCCTAAGATATAAGATAAGAATGTGAAAAAGGTTGAAAACATGGGGCACTAGATATCATATATATATATATTGATATAAAGCTGGATAGGTTCTTCGCCCTTGGTCATTGGGCGAAAACCCTTGGACTCCGGGCTATGGTTTTCAGCCAGGGACCCCCAACGGGGATATATCATGCATATCTTGTGATTGGGGGATTGGATCTTGCAACTTTACTGAAATCCTCAATGCAGGAATTGCATGATTATGTCCTACCAAAAAGAAGGGCGGGATGGCTATTATTTCATATGCAGTAATTTCCAAATTACCCCCTGCATCCTTCTCCTGGCTTTCCATCCAACATCTGAAGCTAAAGAGGAGCCACGCCTCCACATGTACAAACCCTGGAGCCCAAAGGTACGGGTCATCCTGTTCTTGAAACAAACGAATATGTATTCTATCAATTCACATGATCTTCAAAATATGTATAAATCACTCGTTATTTATCTTTCACTACCATTGCATACAAGTCATTGAATCCACCAACAAATACTAGACAACTAGTTGTTGTGGTTGTGGTTGTGGTTGTGGTTGTGGTTGTTGTTGTTGTTGTTATTGTTGAAACCACCAACAAATAGATCAAAGCCGCGCCATGTATGCCGGGCCAAGCCCCGCCTCACTGACTGCATTGGCCAAGTGATATGGCAACGCGCCGTAAAGACGAGCTGCAGACTCTTTGGTATAGTATTGGCCTCAGATCTCAGCCACCGCCCCTGGTGGCTATCGAATTACAATGGCTCCAACAGCCCTGCAACAGCCCTGTGGCCTGTATGGTTAGTGGATGTTAGTGGTTTATGACCCCTAACTGAACTGTAGATATTGTAACTTCCAAACCTGAAAATGGAGGATGACGCTCGAGCATCTCAAAAGTTGAACTGGTAGATACCCTACAGTAAACGTTATCTGGAAGCCATGGCCCGAACATTGGATGAATTACATACTATTAAATTCATTTGTATAAATCCTATTAAAATGGGTTCATCATCATGATTCTGCAACATCTTGGGGTGCTGCATCCATATGATGATGCCACTTCACTTCGGAGAGTGCTTCAGGAGAAGGGGCCGGCAACTCCAATCCACTTGGCGTCTTACGTGGAGAGATGGTTCATACCAGTATCTTTGGGTTTGTTTGCATTCACCAAATATTTTCCCTGTATATATATAGTTTTTTGTATTTTTTTTCTTTGGGAAAAACATGTTCACAAATAATCAAACTACAAATGCAAATGTAAATCTACAGGCACACACACACACAGGCGCACACAAATACACACATCTGCTAGTTTCTCTGAACATATGCAAGTACATGCAAATATACATATCGACAATGAAGATAATGAAGTGCAACCCTATATAGAACAAAGTCCACAACCCATCATGCCGATATGTGATGAACTTTGCAGCATTGGTGGCCGAGATACGATCATCAATGAAAAAGGGCATGGCACAGTTCGGGGTAACCGTCTGTGCCAGTGCCATGAGAAAAAGGACCTCAGAGTAGATGGCTACTTCGAGGATCAACCCAGTTAGTAACTGGTTTATAACATTGGTTAGTATATAAGTCCCCAAACTAGAGTTATCCCATAACTGGGTTATGACCCCACTTCCTAACCAGTTAGGAAGTGATCCTCCAAGAACTAAAAAGGAACATGATGAGTGAGCAATAACTTTAGGAGTGGACTACCCCCTAGCCAATAAACATTGATATGGCAATGGGGATAGCCTATAGGGAAAATGTGCATTCTCAAATGGGGATAGCCAGTGAGGCACACTTGTTATTCATTGTTGACATGATGATAAACCAAATGCATTTTAGGTACCTCTATCTTCCCTCTATCTTCAGGCAATTCCATATTAATGGAATCTGGAAAATCTTTGGCAAATCCCAAGAAAACATGCTGGTACACTCGGCACAAATGTAACCACGATTTCGGGGTGACCTTGGAAACATCCACTTGCAAAAAGTGGGGACCCAAGGCTCCAGTCTCAGCCCCCAACTTTTAAACATGGCGCTTCGAGGGTCTCAATGAATGTCTCAATTTGGGGTTTATCTACACATTATATAATCTAAATATATCTAAATATGGATAATTGGGATCAAGAACCAATCACAACAAGGATATCAAGGGAATACTTGTCCTCTGGTAATCAAACATGCCGGAACATTGCATATTCATAGTATTTCATAGTTGATCTTCCCAGCTAGAAGCCACGGCATGGTCTGAAAGCTTTGACCTCCTTCTTTCTCGCTCGACTGTTTGGCACCGGTTTCAGCCATTTTCAGCCTTCGGGCCCAGCATTAACTCCACTACTGCTTCGTGACGATACTTGGCTGCCAAATGCCATGGGGTCTGGTTCCAGCGGCCTTCAAAGAAGCCGGGCTTGTCTTTGTTTCCCCCAGCGGCCATCAAGCAACGCGCCTTGGTCTAACATGGTCACTGGTTGAGTCTGTGGTGCACCATGGCGGGACAGAGTTTGATCATCCTGGGTGGAAAAATCTATGCATGCCAGGGTGGGAAGAAAGAACTGTGGTGGAACTTCCAAATCCCAGACGTTTGGAAGGCTTTTCGGATCACATTTTGGAAGTAACATCTTGAAAACATCCAACACACATTCAACAAACCTCAACGTTGGCGAGGTGCAATTTTCAGGTCACCGCTCCGAGCCGCGAAATGCAAGGGGGTCCAGCCGTCCTCTGTCCGCGAAATGTTGGGATCAGCAGCAGCTTGCAGCAGCAAAGGAACCACCTCCGAACGATGCGATTCCACAGCAGCATGCAGCGGTGTCCAGTTATTTGGGCAGTCGTCCGGATTGGCATCGGCACCTGCAACTGAGACGGGGCCGATTTTTGCGGAGAACCCATGGGAATAAGAGACATGATAGTTTGAAAAACAACAGATAAACAGTAGGAGCGGTCCAAATTGGACATTTCCATTTTATATCATTATATAATCATAGTTTGTCATGTGCTGTTGTGCTATACGGCTGTAATTATACGTCAAAAAAATACGCTTTGTTCAGTTCGCGATTGGGTTTACATACCAGATTAGTAGGATATCTGGCCAGGAAGACTGGGAGACAGGCATGAGCCACAGAATTTGGACAAACAACCGGTTCATGCCGGTTGACAGCAAGGAGAGGTGTTCTGATTCGGAATCCTGGAATTGTTGGGAACAATTACCGGAACCCCTGATTTTTGATGGTTAAACCGTGGCCCCAGCCGTAGATTTTCCCATTGAAAACCTTGAGAGGTGCCACCAATCAGGTGAACTCCCCCCCAAGCGATTCTGGTTTCCTTCGGATTTTCCTGGTGGACCCAGATTAGAACCAAAAAACAAAATCAAATATGGATAAATATATATAAATATACATGCATAAATATGATTAAAGTAAATGTATGTATATATATATATGCATACACACACATATTTGTCACTATCACCCATTGTCCTGCGCCGGTGGGCCCTCACTGAAAAAACTGAGGTGAGTTCATGGCGATGGGTTAAACTGCTGTTGCAAGCTTGCCAATATAGCTGTCATGGTAAAATCATCTGGGTAAATTTTCAACTCTTTCACTAGCCTGAAAAGTTTGGCCATTTGGGAATGATTCCCCTTACTCATCATGATTCCAATGAGGTCACAATGAGGTCGCAGTGATTGTAATTTACCCAGATGGATAGATGATTTTGCCACAGAAAAAAACTTCCATCTATAGTGGATTTCCCAGATAGACATGTTTGATGACAACAGGTAATAGGGGCCCCATCGAAGATATGGGACTTTCTGCCCCACCTGCTTCCAACATCATCCCCACCACTTTCGCATCCCCATTCTCCGCCGCCGCTCGCAGGGGCTCGGCCGTACACCTGGCTCTGGCGTCCAAGAGCAGGCGCACCACTTCACAGTGGCCATTGTCAACTGCCAAGAACAGAGGTGCAACATCCCAACTGTCCTTGGGTCATGGTTGCTTTCAGGGAACAAAACTGGAGAGGTGACAAAAGCAATAAAAAAAGTGAAGTTGTTGAATGTTTGGGGCTTTCTGGAACCAAATCCTTGTGCTGATTCTGGGAATGGAGTGTGCATCAAGCTGAGGAAGAACGCATCCACACATGCACCAAAACAGCTGGGAAACCAAACACAACAAACAGAAGATAAGAGAAGAGCTGTCAAAATAAAACAAAAAATTGCTGGCATACGGCATACGCTACAGTGAATAGAGACACATGTAAAGACTATGAAAAAACGTACTGCTCACATGAACATAGATACTTATTTTTTAGAGGTATATATCTGCAGCAAGTTGTTCAATAAACATATATAATCAACCCATTGGGCGTTCATGTGTGTGTGTGTCAAACCAGAAGCAAAATCATCTGCTTGGCTTAATTGAAAAGGTTCTGAGTCGTTCACGTCAGCCTGAACTTCCAACAACGCCTTCATAACCTGTGCATTGCCAGCAGCGGCCGCGAAACAAATGGGTTTCCATCTTTTTTTGGTATCTTCTTTTTCGACATCAGCGCGTGCTGCCAGCAATCTGCGCACGACTTCCACGTGACTCCTGGGTGTACTCGCATGGTGCAGTTTTTGCACACATCACCAAAAACCGCCCAACTTTTGCTGTCCAATTGACGAGAAACATTGTTGAATGAGTTGTCTCGGTATCTTATTTCCCCTCAACACGCCACCAGCCATCCAGCCCAGTCAACACCCGTCAAATCAGGAAACCACCTGGTGGATGGATCTAGGAAGCATCTACCTTTGAAGTATAAGTGGCTTTTGAACTACGATTGCGGGTGGTTCCATTCTATGTTGGCAAGTTGGGTTCTAATTGGTCAGACTTTCTGGTCGCAACCTTTTTCGCAAGCCCCTTTTGTTTAAATAGGAGTCATTGGGGATCATCATGCCGATCATCATGCCGAATGACTGGGTGAAAAGAAAAGTTATCAAACCACCAACGAGCTTGGTTTCCCAAAATCCAGCCCAGATTGATCCGGTCAAACATGGCTGGAAATCCTCCGAATCTCGCCAAGGTATTCTCCATGATTTTCCTATTAAAACCTACATCTTATAGTGGATTTTCCAGCCTCCAGCCTGCCATGATGACACCAAAGGGTACCCTCTTGGCTCAACGCCACGTCTCTGATTGGCTGCCAAATGTAGTGGCGTCCGACCACGCTCCGTCCCCGCTTGATCGCAGGCAGCTCGAGCATCAAGGAGCAGGGTAACCATGTCCTTAGTGGCCGGCGTCAGGCCGTCATGTTAACATCTTTGTGTCTATAGTCTATAGCCTATGTTGTAAGGGAAGATTATCTGGTCCCCCCAGTGATGTTTGTTGGTTTAGAAACCCCATGAATACTGTAGCTACAGTAATTATAAGTATCATAAAGCATAGTGAAATTGGAGTTTAAACTAAGTTAGGCATCTGGGGGACCCGACGTTGCATCCCTCACTATTATTTGGCCTTATATGGTACAGTACCTCCACTTTAGGGTCCTGAATTAGTTTGTGGCCGCCCCTCAACTATCTTGGCGTCATATATCATATATCATATATCCCAAAAGATCCAAAAAGGATCTGAGGCACTCTTGGAGGATGTTGCTTCTCTCATATACAGTGACATTTATTACAGGCTGCGGCGCCCTGCGATTGCACAAAAAGATATATCCAGAATCAGCGTCAGTGAGGATGATTCTCGAGGAGGTTGAGCTGCAAATTCAGAAGAATGATGAGACACAGCCAATTTTAGGGACCCCAAATGACTAGGTTCTATAGTAAACCAGAGGAAAGGTTTGTCGTTCCATAAAGGGAGCGGCAGAAGTCATCACCAGCCAGTGATTTTGGGTGATTGTAAGTGCACCGCATGGCAGGGTCTGGAAGATGAGTCGTCGGGCGTACTTCCATCTATACTGGGGGTACATACCACATATAACTGGGTTCTTTCGCTTAGTTCTTAACCGCCCTTACAAACTGGTGATGCACATCCACATATTATCAGATTATAATACTCCATCAAACCATTTTAGTGAAATTGCAGTGGCGCCCCTCAGTTCTGCTTGTTTACCCATCACAGCCATGTCTTTTTTGAGGCTCGACATGGCCACCCAGCACAGCAGAATGCAAGGGCGTCCAACGGCTCTCCGACGCGGAATGGTCTTGCTGAGCCCGGGCCTCCAGCAACAAACGTGCCACACCCAAATGACCGTGGCCGGCCGCCCAGTGTAGGGGTGCGGAACCTGGGAAATTCGCGTATGGGTTGCGATGAAATTGAAACTGGGGGATACCAAAATCTATGAAATCTAGCTTGCTTAATTAGTTTGGTATACTCAGCCCATGACTGAAGTTTAAATATTCATCACATACTATCTGGGTGTAAGTGGGATAAATAGGATTGGTTCCCTTATACCTCGAATCTAAAACATATCCAAAAAATGTATAACGCCTATTTACTAGGGAAAAACAACTTTATTAATTACATTAAATTGATATACATGAATTAATACATTATTATTCTATGTATAAGCCATGTATTACTTCCTAAGTGGGGTGAACCACCCTTCGTAGTCACCACTTTGACTTTCATGTCCTGCGCCCTGCATGCCCACAAGGGCAACTCGGCGCATCTCTCTCGATATCGTACAAAAATTGAAATGAAAAATGAATATGGTGATACAAAACAGCTCAGAAGGTCACAGGGACAGGATGTCAAACTTCAGCTCAAAAATATTACTTCGTCAGAATCATCAGAAATCGTCCCCAAAAAAATCAAAAAAACATTGCGACCGAGCCCAAGAGACTGTCCTCCAACGCGGCTTTGTCCTGATCCGCCCGAGCCTCCAAGAGCATCGAGACGCAATCCTGGACGGGGCAGGGCATCGAGGATGACGTGGTTCTGGACATCACTGGGGAGTGATCCAGGGCTGCAGTTGAGGTTACAAATGGGTAGAACAATGGTTATCAACCCCATAATTTGGGATATAACCCTACAACTATAGTTACATACCAACTTCTCACTGAAAGTGCGCTTCCAAGTCATTGTTTGAAGGGGTGGATTTTCCATGCACATTGGTGTGATTTTTTTTGGTGGGGGATGGATCTCTATGAAAGTTGTTTAAAATTCATAATAAATATCTGTAAATATGTCTACATCTGTCGGGTTTATGGTAGATATGTCAAACTAGTTAACTGGATTTAAAAACCAACGTATAAATGAGGATGTGCAGCCATTTGATTGGGATTCAACTAGCCGAAATATGATGGTCTGTAATTTCTGTGCTTTAATGATGGTAATTGGGATGACTAAACACAACATAAAATCAAACTAACGCATAGTTTCCGGAAAAATAATGGGGACATTTATGGTATAACACAGATAGATAGATAGATAGATAGATAGATAGATAGACGGATGGATGGATGGATGGATAGAAAGAAAGAAAGATAGAGAAATAAACAAACAAATAGATAGATCGATTTATAGTGAGAAACAAAAACAATACAGTATCATGCAATGTCTGTGTTCAGAAATACAATGGGCACCCCTTGAACTTGTTGGTGCATATATACATACCAGTTATTGTCTGACGATTGCTATCATTGTTTGCATTGTATGATAAACATGTATGGAGATAGATTGTGCACATGTGTTAACACACACACATGCACACATATATATATATATATACACGCATACACACACACACACATGTATACATATATATATATATACACGCATACACACACATGTATACATATATATGTATAAACATACACATATACACATACACATACACACATGTGTATATATATATACAATTATATACATCATTTTTTTTGTATCAATTGCTTTGTATGGTACAATACCTCTGTTTTGAGATCCTGAAATTTCATGAAACTCCTATTAGACAGTATACATATCACATCTACATTCTGTATCCACGTCACGTCGAATGCCCAAACGGCCGCTCCTCATGTCCCGCGGCTGCGGCAGTGTGCAAGGCAGGCCAGCCATCGATGTCGCTGGTATCAGGACATTGAGGTTTCTTCAGTAGCCTCAGGGGTAGCTGGGGTGGATTTTCTGATATCCTTGGTGCTGATGGTGTATGTCATGCAAAGAGGAATACATACAAATAAGTATGGATATGTTAACTCAGTTCGTTTATAAACAGGTTAACGCTTGGATTTACATGGATTTTATTGGTAGATATGTGTATATATATATGTGTATATCGTACTAGTTGAACCTTGCACACCGGATTTGCTTTCAAACAAATCCCATTTTCTTGGAACAACTTGAAGCAAGCCAAACAAAGATTTTTCCATCCGACGAAATTCGGTGAAGTACTCACCGTTTCTATTCTTGGAGGTGGTGCTACATCTCTAAGAACAAGCTAAACGACACGCCTTTCCAGGACGGTGAGGTCGTTCTCCGCACAGGCCTCACGAGGGCCAGGGAAAAGGCCATGGGAAAAAGGCCGAATGCGGGCCTAATGGGTATCTCAATAGGGACAATCATTGGAACTTTTTTTTGGTTTTTTCTTTAACATCTTTAAAAACAAAATTGAAAGTATCAATGATTTAGTACCGGAGGGCATCTTCTTCGCCCGAGAATGCGCCAGCCAAAACACCTTCTCATTGATCACATTTGGTCTCTAGGAGACTGGAGAAACCCTGGCCCACTGCCAAGCTACAGTAATGAATTCCTCATCCTCCTTGGCTTCCGAGGGCCAGAAACCCAGAAGCACCAGTTGAGCTTCCAAGGCTGAAGAGATTTCATCTTCATCCTCCAGCTCCCGCTCTCCACACAGCAATCTCTGTCCTTGGATCTGCGAATGAGTGAAGCGTTGCAGATACTCCAGTCATTTTTTCAGAGGTTGAGGTTGTCTTTTCTCTGAAAGTCCTTAGAAGATCTTGGAAGAATGGGCACTGTTTCTTTTTACAATGTAAGTAATGGGCTTTTCTTTGGCGTGTTTCCAACTGTTTCATTCTTATACCAATCAAAATCTCATTGGATTTCGCAGGAACCACAAGCCCACCGATGGGAAACCATCTGCTACCCCCATTTTCCAAGATCCAAAAGGAGGTTCATACGGTGGGGGTTTTCCTCATGGCATCCCAAACCTTAAGTCATTACGAAACAACGGTGATGCCTGGGGGATTCTGCCGACATTTGCCGGGTTTTTCCGTTTTTCAACGAGAGTCGAAACCGTGGCTTTCCAATTCGACCGCTCAAATGCCTCTTCAAGGCCAGCACGGTCGCGCCGCTCGTGTCCAACATCTGCTGGAACCTTGGCTCGTGGCTATGGTGGATTTCATCAATGAGAAATTTTAGAAAAAACATGAAAAAAACAATATACTGTGTGCGGCACCAGTTGAAAACGGTGGTTTATCCCATTATGGGTTGCAACCCTCCAAGGTGGTGCAGGATTTCTTCCATACACAGTATAATATGGGCACTTGATTGTTTAATAACAAAGAAATGTGAATTAGCCATCAACCAGCGCGGATTTCACAAATAACATGCTGCGGAAGTACGTCCATTGTGGTCCATACAGTAAACCGTCCCATTCTTGTGTACCCAATGGAAAAAACCCAAACACATTGGGGGGATTGGTAGAGAAATAAACAAATCAGACATATCTAGAATAAGCATCAAATTTCAGGGTATTTCAGCCCGCAGTTAGACAACCCCCAAGGGCCCCAACATCTCGTAGCCTTCGAGCAACTCCTCCTCCTCCACCGTGGCCACACATTCTCCCGAGGTTGCAGAAGACACGCGAACCATGGTCACGAGTCGACTGAATTGGGCGCTGCTGGGGTCACCTGGGACCTGCTGGGACACAGGTTGATGACAATGTGGCGAAACATATATATATATACATATATGTATTATATTCAATAGATTGGTATAAGGGAAAATCTACAGGAAACCATTGATTTTCCTATTAAATATCAGGCTTTCCTGTAAATCTTTCCCTTAAACCAATCCATTGATAAGGCATTCGGCTAGTTCAATGCTTATTCGTTAGGGTTGTAGCGTGTGTGTCTGTTATTGTGTGTGTGTGGTGTCCTCTTCTCTGAACATCAGGGTTTTAAGTCGTCATTGGGGGATCAATGGGGGCATGACATTATACAATATACATCAATATACAGTATGCAAAAAAAAGCCCTGAATCCAGGGGAACATCCAATTTTGGAGGTCACCTTTTCCGCATGCATCGAGCCTCAATGCACTCCAGGTTTCCCTGACTTTGCGCACCCGAGCCAAAACATGATAGCCATTGTCAATCGGATCATTATTCCAGGAAAAATTGTCAATATGAAACTTAGAAATGATTAGAGTAAATCATAATCATACATAATAATAGCATATAATAGCGACATATAGCGACTCTCAACTCACTCTCTCTCTCTCAAATTTGCATTCATCATCATGCATCCGGATAAACTATATATATATAGAATCATTCAGAATGATCTAATGATTCACTATAATTCATCCATCTCAGTGATCATTTCTGGCCATCGCGGGATCCCTTGAGGCAGCATCGGAACCCGACAAGCTACTCCTACGCGATTCTCCGGCATGCTGGAGTGAGGCTGCAGGGGCAAAGGTAGCCTCGGAAATAAAGCGCCAATCCAGCGCCAGGGCTTGGCCATCCATCTCTGAAATAGGGGTTTCCATACATGAAGGTACACAAAATGGATGGTTTATAAGGGAAAATCCTATTTAAAATGGATGATTTGGGGGTACTTCCATTTCAGGAAACCTCCAAACCTGCTTATGTCTTCAATATTAAACACCTCCAGAAAGCAGGGTTTTTGTAGGGACTGTATGCATAATTAGTACCTTTGAGGGTGCGTTTTATATTTGAGGGTTGGGATTATTTTGATGAGGGGATCATCAACTTTCCTAAACTCTACTCTGTTGATAGCAAGTAGATCCAGTCTTTGGCACCCAGTCACACTCTCCGAAGCCCTGTGGGCTTTTGAATATAGCTCAGCTCCATGTCATAGTAAACACATCCTGGGCGACAGCGCGATTGAACTGTGGGATTCTCCTCAAACTCACAATGTCCTGCACAAACCTAGCCCAATACCCTCAGGTAAATTAACACACGGATATGGACAGCACACCATTTTTAGCTTTCGAAAACAATGGGACTTTCCATACCTATATATATATTATATTTATTTACTAGAGTCTTAGAAGGATCTTTTTCTCTCTTATGAGGACACCCCAGCCAACACTGCAATGCAAGGCAATTGCCATCAATCGCCTAGGTTGTTTGGTATTGATCCATGCCCAAATCACCAATCTTTGCCGTCAAGCGTGTCGAATTACTTGACTATTGTATCCTTCATTGCATAAAAAAATTGCACAAAACAGCTACTGTAACTCTACTAATTATCCCAATCTATCCCACATATTCGAAGGCAAACAGCCTGGTATGGCCAGGTATCTTTTCACATGTGTCTTTCATGCTTCGCGTTTCCGAACATTTCCCCAAATGGAGGTTTCCCTATTCATGGGGTACCCCTTAAATCCCCCAAAATTAGATCATTTTAGTAACTAGAAGTATTGAAACCCATGGTTTTGGGATGTTTTGGGGATTCCCCCAATTGAAGAACCCCCGAAATCCGTCAGCGAGGCTCCCATGAGGATCCCAGTCAAGAGATGCAGTCCCACTCTGGCCGCCAAAGTCCCAGGGGACCGCAGAGTACTTCGCAACTGCTGCCGTTGCAGGGTACAATACCTGGGCACCAAAGGCTATGGGGGGATCAATCCTCATCTCAGGGTGACTTGAAGACTTAGGTGTCTCTGAAAAAAAATGATTCAAACTATCCCAAAGATGCCTGGTTGATCGATTCTAAGTTGGGATGGACAAGAACACAATCTGAAACCATCAATACCAGACTGGTTGGTGGTTTCAACCCCCCTGAAAAATATTGGTCAGTTGGGCTGATGATTCCCAATATATGGAAAATAAAAAATGTTCCAAACCACCAACCAGTTCATGTCGCGACCCGGAAATCAAACCATCCAGGTCAAAAGGGTCAAAAGCAAAAGACCCAAAAGACCCACCATTGCGAGCATGCTGCTGTCGCACAAAACCCGGGCGCTCGTGAACGAGACGGCTCACCGGCGGAAGTGAAGTGCCACCCAAATGAGCCTTCCTTGGCAGTCATTGTATATAGATGTATATAGATTCTAATATAGATCAATCTGAGAAAACAATATGGAATTTTCACAAAGTTTCTAGAAATCTGAAGAGGACCAGAAGTCCCTAGTTTGGGTGTCCCCTTTGCCCCAAATGCTTAGACAACAGTCCTGCCGCGTGAGGTTGCTTTGGGGGAGAAGGGGCTCATCCTCCCAGGCCAGAACTTCAGATATGCCGGCGCCCCAAAAATGGTAGTCATGTCTCATAGCCTGTTTCCGCCGCTTAACCATCCGGTGCAATGGTCTTATCTCTTTGCATCCACAGCAACAGCAATCCGGAATTCTTTGTGCAAGCGAAAAGTCACGAACGTTGGCTTTTACGTCTTATCTGGGGATAAGGCAACGCCAAATAACAGCAGCTTCCTCGAAAGCTCATACGTATCCAGAAAAAATGTCAACCTGACATAAGTCCACAGTGGGATGACGTCGCAGCGAAGTCAGAAAAACGATGAACAACCAACCGTTGAAGCCTCCAACGAAACCAAGCAACGGAGCTGATCTGTTGTAGGCCTCCGCCAGTTCCTCCACATCTTTTTCGACTCGCAAGGTGTGCATGCCATAGATGTGGGGCGGTTTCTCAAATCCCACCTCGGTGCATGGAGATCGCCTAAGCCTGGAACCCAAAACTCCTGGGTATTGTTTAGGACGGTGTGTCTGGAAATCGCTACTGTATATCGATACGTAACATATATATATCACATACTTGGACAATCTTGGATATGTGTATCCCACTTAGAATCAGTGATAACAAAATGAACAACATGACCTAAAACATGGGAGAACTGCATTTGGACTTCCCAAGCAGTCAACTACTTCCACACCATAAAATGGGTGAGGAGGAGTCTCCTAAGCACCTGTTCACGATGTGGGGATGTGTCAGAGCCCAATAGCCTCTGTGAACACCAAAATGGATGGTCACAACCAAAAAATTGTAGTTATATGGGTATTGGTCATTGGTCATCCTAAAGTGGTAAAGCCAAAAGTAAGCCATAGCGTATTTACTCCCCAGCAGTTTACCATCGAACGAGATTCAACGGCCATTTCAGATACCTGAATTAGAGGTTATTACCATACGTAAGGCCTATGTACGGGCTATGTAATGGGATATACCGATACCGTATTACCCCACAAAAAAGCGCTTCCTATGGTTTGGGCTCCTGAACATGTCCATTGATAAATGGTGGTTTCCTAAAACCGAGGTACCTCCAAATCGCCCACTTTAGTATGATTTTCCATTATAAACTATCCATTTAGGGGTCCCCATGGCTTCAGCACCATTTGGGCTACCTATCCTGCCCCAGTTGCTGTGATACAGTCCAGAACCATGTCCTCAGCATGCCAAAATGGTCCGACAAAGGTTCCTGTGAGGTGCGCCAAGTTATCAGTTGGTTTATAAAGCCAATGATAGACATATATAGTTATTAAATATATTTAAGATATAAGTATAACTAGAGTTACAAGTCTAACTTAACCATAGTGAAATTGGAGTCATCTTCACCAACTTAGCTATCGTCTTGAGGGCCCCACTTTGTATAAGTAGATTTAAAGCAGCCACATGGAGTGACTCTACCGGCAACCAGGCCATTGCAGATGGGGATTCTCAGGCTCAACCTGGGCCATGGTCATGGCATAACTTATCCAACACGAAATCATCAAAATCATGATTCTCTCCCGAAGGGTCTCCATTTATCATCTTATATCCTCAATGTTTCCATATATATATGTATGTTTTTGGCTTTTAAACATCTTTAAAGCACCATTTTTGTCCCAACTGCCCTGCCAGCCCTGCCAGCCCTGCCATGGCTCCGTGATGGAGGTGGTCAAGGCCCGATCTTGATCCCAAAGTTTCGAGGACATCAACCAATCCTTCAGACCACTGGGAGCACCTTGGATCGATGATCGATGCACTCCCCGCCAGAAAAAAATCAGCAAAAAAACCTCGAAGGGAAGGTGGGAAACCGGAAAGAAAAGGTAAAGAACACATCTGGCTGGTGGTTTTTTAACCATCTTGAAAAATATTAGTCAATGGGATGTATTATCCCATATATTATGGAAAATAAAAAATGTTTGAAACCACCAACCAGACATGTTCTTCCTTCTCCAAGTAATGGGGGACAGGCTTCGGGAAATGGTTCCTTCATCTCATCTTCGGATCACAAGGATGAACCATGGATCATCAGCAGGCTCAAGTCGCAAGGCTGGGTCATACGACTTGCAGCTCTGCAAGATCGTTTCAAAAGGTTTCAAAGGGATCATCGGATCAAAATGGAGGTTTCCTAAACTGGGGGCAGCCCCAAATCAAAATTGGACCATTTTAGGATGAAGACCCATGGTGACTTGGGGTCCCACATAAGAATCCCCCATGGCTGTGACCTTTGCCAGCCAAGGCTGGAAAGGCGGCAGCTATCTCCTGAGCATTGCGCCATTGTAGACCAAATGCCCACACGCCAGAAACAAGACCTTGTCGAACATGGCCTGGGGCCGCATCGGGAAGGGCAAATGGCAGATCCCGTCTAGAAAAAATGAATGTCATTGGGGGATCATCATCCAATGTCCATAAATAAGCATCAACAAACATATGTCGAAACCACGCAGATTTTGTTTTGGACATATGGTGTTGAAGGATCTGAAGATGAATTCCCCTACAGGAGCATGGTATTGCTCTGTATTGCCACTCTCGAAGAACCTTCAGAACAAAGTGAATTTGAGCTGGTTAGCCCATTCCCCATCAAAACTAATGGCAACAGGGAACATCACCCACTACCCTCCCTGGGGCCTGGGAGCCCATCGTGAATGGTTAGTAGCCCTTTAATATAGTTAATCCATCCAACTGAGATTTCTCATTCATCTAGTGTGGATAACCCACTACCTTAAGAAGTGGTGCCCCCCAGTTATCATTCGCTAAAAATACCTATTAATGTATCTATATCTATATCTAGATCTATATATATATATACATATCTACTATACACCTCAAATATGGTCAGATTTGTCAACTAACTTAGCATTCACCATGGGTGGCCCTTTTGGAACTAGCCAGGTAGCCTAGGATTAAAATCTGAAGTTCTAGGTTTTCTCAAACACACCTAGGGTTATACTACATATACCGATAATATCCCATTGGTGAAGTTTTCACTCCAAAAAATATGGTCTATGATACTTATAACTAATTAACTACCTGATTGGTGGTATACCCACCCCTCTGAAAAATATGACTTCGTCAGTTGGGATGATGACATCCCCAATATGATGGAAAGTCATAAAAATCATGTTCTAAACCACCCAACAGTGTATATAGCGATTATATCCCATTAAATCACCATTGGTGTTGGTTAAATCCTGATCTTTCTGAACTCCCATAACATGCCCAATTTAATCCACCGGTGGCATGAACTTGGCTTGTCTCATTAGACTCCACAATTTTCCCACTTCACTATAGGCCATAGCACAGTGCTTTTTTCCTCCTAGTCAAGTTTATATCCCATGATCCCATGATTTTCCAACATGAAACTGCTTCAACCAGCCCTTCAACCAGCCATGTCAAGCTGCTACAATGGCTTGTCTCGGCTGATGTATGGTACAGGCCACCACATGGCCTGCTCGCGCCAGTGCTCGGATGCTCTCCATGACGCACAGAGCCTCCAAAAAATCCCGTTGGACCATGAGGACTGTCCGTTGAACCATCCAAAAATGGGATGACACCATGTAAAAAAAGGGGGATTGAAACGTCAAAAAATTGGGCTTCAACCATGAACACAATTTCACTTGGACACGCAAGATGGAAGCTTGTACCATCCAAACTTGAAGATACCCAGGAACATCATGTCGAAAACTATGGGGATTACTGGGTCTCTTCTCTTATGTTTTTGGAAGCCACGCTGTTGCTATTGACAGTGGTGTCCTCTAAATTCTGAAGTTGCAATTCTGTAAATGGAGTGTGTAAACAGGTCCTTTGAGCCCGATGAACCAGGTTATGAGAGATGACAATCTTAGATATTTTGACTATGATGTTTCAATTATCCGCTATTGTGCCTAAAAACATATTTTTTTAAATATATTTAATAAGATCCCGATAGACAGTAAGTATGATATCAGGGCAATTCAGCCTCCAGCAGCAATGTAGACGTCAATTGGGCTCATCATCCTACCGTTTGTCAGAGATAATTAGTGTAACAGTCAAGTTACAAGGTCATCCCACCATTTTGAACGAGATTCCGGAGATGTAAATAAACCAAATTTATATTTCCATGTATTTATATATAATTGTATATATATAGTTATATACAAATGTGTATATATATATATATTCCACACGATTTTCTACACTTGGTCTCCTAATCCCACAGGGCGACCATTTTGTACAACGTCCGAGGCACTGAAAAGGCATCCAATCCACTGGTCGGTTCATCCAAGAAAACCAAGGGAGGCGAATGCACAACACCTGCCAAACGCAGGATTTCACTAGCAATGGAGTGGTTTTACTGGGAAAATCTACTGGAATCTCTGTTTTATATTTTTATTCTTTTACGATTTCCCTATTAAAGAGATGTAAATACAGTCAATACAGGTTTCCTGCTTTCCGATTTCATCTGTTTCCTTCAACCTCAACGAATCCAACAATTGGAGGATCAACTTGAGGATCAACTGACCGAAAGTGACCCAAGTGACGGCTTTGGGCTCGTGGAGCTGCCCAGCCATAAGACAGTTCCTTCAGCCGAAACACAGTTCCTTTCCAGTTATTTCAAATCAGCAAAAAGGATGTCCGAATGATTTTCTGTGATTTTCCCATATTTCCCAATTCAAATCTCCATTTAGTTCGATGATGTTCCCAACCATAAACTTCCATCTAGTTCAGGGAGTTCCGGTACCACCATTTTAGGAACCCCCCTCAGCCATCTCCCCATAGGGTTTTTCCGTACTACAACCTCCACACCAGGCCCCACCTGCCGCGATGTTCAACCGCCGGCGCTCGCCCCCCGAGAGGCCGCGGATGCTGAAGCCCCCCGGGAGGCGACCCCCGACGAACTTGGCCTCCTGCAGTGATCGAGGCTGAAATGGTGGACTTATGGGGGACTTGATTGGAACATATGGGAAAATCATGGTGTTTTTAGTGACTTCAATGGGAAAATATGGGAACATTATGATGGGAACTAAATGTTGAGTGACTTCATCGTGGTTTTTTTTGGGACTAAAGTGGGATTTAATGGGTCTTAATGGGACTTAATGATGGTTTCATCGTGTATGGAGATTTCAATGGGATTATATGGGAAAATGATCGAACTAAATGGAACTTAAGGGGACTTGGAAATGGCGGTTTAATGGTGCTTAATGTGAAGTTTCGGTTACTATAGATACATCTGCCAAAAACTATAGTTGAGTCTGTTTGAACATGGGCTATATCCCTCTGATCCAAATAGAAGTTTTGATGGGAAAAATATCATACTAGGGATATCAGCGGGATATCCTATTTTCAGACAAAGCCCTCTATGGAGAAGGAAGGGATCACGCCAACTTCGGATATATGATAAATAAACCCCGGGACTATTGAAATGGGGAAACCATTTTCGGAGTACATTATCGCTGCTTGTGGGGGTACTCCTAATTATTGTAATCAATTAGTATTGTTTATTCTGGGGTTGGCATTATGGATTTAACACACACACACATATATATATATGTATATATATATATGTATATATATAGTGAACCCAATCATCAAGATCGCGGATTTATATAATCAAAATCCACGGAACGAAGATCTACTTGCAGGTGCAGTTGGGCTTATTTATACATGGGTATAACATGGACATAACACCAGAAGTTGGTAATATAATATATCATCATTGTGGCCATGTACACACCTCATTAAGTGGAACTGAGTCACTGCACCCTCGAGTGAGTTTGGATTTCATGCACGGGGATTCTTAATTACAAAATGCACTAAGAGGGACATCCAAATATGAGAAATCAGCAAATCTATTGCTATTATTCTATCTAGCCAAAATTTGGATGTGAGCTAAAACAAATGAGTATTGAATATTGAAGCAAGGAGAATGGGGAAAAAACTACCAATCAATCCAGCCAACCGGATTTTACAACAAAAACAGGGAGCCTTCATTTGCCAACAAAACCATGGATCTTTATTACAGCAATACGGATCTGATCAACACTATAAGTCAATTCGTAGCTCCTTGCCTCCCCGTACTAAAAAAGGAATATAGATAGCCCTAGCTCCGAACCGCTCCATTCACCAATGGCATGGTTGGTTACTGGCATGCTTTGTTGATGTTCATTATAATATACATATACATATATATTTATGTACATATGTATATATATATATATATATGTATATTTCTATACATCTACATATGGTATATATCTATATTCCAATGATAGATGGTGAATTCCCCATTTCTATGCCATTCTCAGATCTATCAACACCCGTTTGGTGACTCACCTTGTCCGCGAGGCCCACGGACTGCAAGCGCTCCGAGACGGCCTTTTGACCTGGCTGTGGGACCTGGATGGCTTTCTAAGGGAAAATCCTATCAAAATGGATGATTTTTGGGGTACCCCTATTTTAGGAAACCTCCCACACATACATATATATATATGTCCATATATATATATATATATGTACATATATATATATATATGTGTGAAAACATATCATATATGAAAATACTGGGATGTCTAACTAGTTCTAATTACGCATATATGCACGTGCCTGCGGACGTTACACCAAAATTTATTACTATGCAGCACTAACATCATCGATTAATCAACTCATCATGGGTTACAACCAACCAACGATATAAGTAAATCATAATATTTTACTAACCTGAATCTTGCGGCCATTTGGGGATGATTTCCCAAAAAAAATCCATGATTCCAGGGTTCGGTCGCGACGTGAGGTCGTTATAATTTACCCAGAACGATGGTGATGGTGATCCAACATGGTGATTCCAAATCCAGGGCCCAGTGTTCGCCAATGGACCAGCCCTGGTCACCTGGTTTTTATCAGAAAATCCCTGTGTAGCCTCCAGCAAATGTTCACCAAAAAAAACATCTTATTGGACACCCAATCATTTACCCTCTGGTAAAGTTGGTAAACATATGTAAACATACAAACAGCTATTGAAAATGGTCATTTATAGTTGATTTACCCATTGAACACGGTGATTTTCCATAGTTATGTTAGTTTACCAAAGGGTATCATGAGATCATTTCACTTCCTCAGCTTTCCCATGGCTTTCCAAACATAGTCTGTGGTGAACTGGCTGGTAGCGTTCCAGGGCAGTGGCAAAGAATTCACCATAGACCATGCTGCTTCACAATGTTTCCCCGTCAAAATTGCCAAAGTTAATATCCAAAAAAATCACACCAACCTACCATTCCCATCTATTCCCCAAAAAATGAAGCACCTGGCCCTGACATCCAGGGCCCAACCCTGGAAACCACAGGTCCGAGCAGCGCATCTTCTTAGGAACCTGTTTCGGCATGGTCAAGTCGGCATAGAACTCCACGGTTTCTCCAACCTCGACATAAGGTGACGCTGGGTGCAGAGCTGGGGATGAAAAACACATCTTTTCAATTGTACATATGTGTTGCTAGATTCATGTCGTCTTATGTACATGTAATATGTATTAATATGTAAGATACCAGAAGCAGGGTGGTAACGATATATCATTTGGATCTAGGTCCAGGTGATGAACAACAAAAACAGATGGACAAGTCACAGGTATCACCTCTTCAAGATGCGCAGTGGTTTGATCCAAATTCAGAGCAGCCACACATGGACAAACTGCTATTAAAAAGTGGTCCACACATGGTTAATCATGGTTAATAGTGGTTTGTAATTCAGAGCAGTCTAATAATGATTAATAGTGGTATTTTGGCGGATTTTGTTTCCACCGTGTCTTTTTTTATGTGGGCAAACAAGGGATGCTTGTCAAGGGGTCATGCATTGAATGGACACCAAAGTCCAGAATAGAAAAAGTTGGATAATTACTCTGCAATGAATTTATAGTGTATGTTCCTTCGCTCATTGGACAAAAAATAGTATCAAATTTGCGGAAAACATCACACCATTCACCATTACTAACCACTATTAATTAACCATTGTTAGTAAGCATCTATCTGTTGACCCATTATTAAACCATTATTTACCAATAAGTCACTAAGTCAGTGTTAACCCACTATCAACCCACTATATGAACCATTCACCATCCGCTTCAACTTCGCCGGAACACCGTATTTGTCGAGACCAAGTTCTCTTCCTGCGCCAAAAGTGGTGACGTTTGGTCCCGCCTGTGGTGTTTGTTGTTTTTTTAGCTCATGCAAATCCGACAAATGCAAAGAGATCTAGCATAAAAATCCATACATCCTATGGTCTCTGGTTATCCTGTTAATATAGTTAAATCTAAATAAATAGACCTTAGTTAGCAATAAATATCCAACATCAATTTCCAAATACCTTACTAGGCTAAATGGACCTACCATAAATATCCAAAAGCTCTAGTTAGCCTAGTTACAGTATAGAGAAACTTAGTTAAGTACCGGGCACCACCTGGTACAAATCCTTACTCATCATCTGTTAGGGTGACGTGGTCCTGCGGAACGTAGGCGGAAGCCAAGAAGAAATGCTCGTCCTGGGCACGGCCGTTGACATAGACTTTGCCTTGGCGCAATCCGGGCGTTCCATTGGTGCCATCGACTTCAGGCTTGGATGTGTGCGTCATGGATGGTGATCGTGCCAGAAGTCTACTTAGGATGGACAAGTGAAAACAGAGTTGCAACGTGGTCACTTTGGGCGACAAAGTTATCAAGCTTCTTGTAATGACTGATTCATGGGACAGGGGCTCGTGTCCTGAGCCTGGAACATGTAAACAGGATGTACCAGGTCATACTGCCTTGAACAAACATTGAGATCATCCGTTCCGAAACAACCATTCATCATTCAGCATACCATCTGGGAGTTAAAACCTGGCAAAGAGAAATTCCAACGCTCCATAGGAAACATGGAGAAACATCCATGAATAGGAACTATCGCAACCATTCCCATCAGAAATGCTGCCGAACGCGCACCTGAAACATCTCCCAAGGTCTTCCGATTTGTCAGTGTGTCCTGTCGGGAAGAGGCTTGGTTGCATAGATACTGTGTATAGACAAAGGCTAGTGCAACTATACCGTACAGATCCGTACAGGGTATACCAAATTCGAATAAATTTGAAGCTTGGGCAATGGACATTTGTTTTATGACATATAAAGTAAATCACTCCAGGAAGCTAATTTCAAGATTTTGTTCAATGATTGCCAATTATTTTAAGATGGTTTTGATATGTTTTGATATGACTTTAAGATATTAGGTCGATACGCTTTGAATGTGAGGTTATGATTTCGATATGGTGTTGGTATGTTTTTGATATGGTTTTGGTTATGGTTTGGATCTGGCAAATATGGTTTTGAATATGATTTTGATATGGTTTGATACGGTTTTGATACGATTTTGATATTATTTTTTGAAGGTTCCGGTGGGTTGGTTTGAAAAAAGGAAACAGGATAAGAGCAGGGGCAGGCTTTTGGTCGATTTCTCCAAGGTTTTTGGGTTTTGATATGATTTTGATATGGTTTTGCTGCGGTTTTGATGCGATTTTGAGGCGATGTTGATATGATTCTGATATGTTTTCAAGTTCTGTTCGCAATTTTGACCCATATCAAAATCATTCCTGAAACCATGTCAAAATCATGACTGCATAACTAGGCCACAAACAAATCATAACAACACATCACATCTGAATCGTTGAAAAACCTCCATCCTAGAGTTAGAGGCTTCTGATGTTATTACTTTGGGACATTCTCGGTGAAAAAACACCAGGGTTACACTGATTTTGGCAGTCTATTAAAAGTGCTGGAGACCTCAGGGCTGGAACTCAGCCCGATGTTCTCCCAAAAACATCCTCAAACCATCCTGACACCACGAATAAACGTATGAATACTCGTATTATAAATCATGTTTAGTTCTTTATATATATATGTATATACAGATAGATAGCAATGAACCCCGCCAAAGCAACACTATTAGACAAGTTCATGAACGAGGGGGAACCTTGGAATTTCAACAACAACCAAATGCATATATGTTCTTTATGTGCAACTTGCTCTACCTTGGTTTTATTCAGCATGTCCTCCATCTTGCCAATGAACTATTCATATATCCATCATGGTTTCTTCTCTCCTCCTGTTACTGTTGGTCACAGGGGGTAAAACTCATATGTAGCCCCATGATATGTTTCTTCTAGCTGACATTGCTCATACCAACGTTGTCCACCTCATACGGTATCACGATTAAGCATCTTACCCTAGAACATCCTGCAAAATCCTGAAGTATGTCACTACATAATGAATACTATTCTATGCACATTAATGTGAGATGTCTTACCATTTTCCTTCATCAGAATACTGGAAATTTATATAACATAACCATGGGAGATACAGTACCCTTTTTCAGAAACGGCCAATCAGCGAATGAAGAAACGGTCATGACTTGCCACGTTGGATTCCCGCAGGGTCAATCCCATCCGCCAGTCAAATGTGCAAAGGGCACGGATTAGCGACCCGGAGGCTTCGCGTCCACGGAAAAAGGTGACTGTAGCCATATTTTGGACCATTTGAACACCATTAAAGCACCATTCAACTAACATTAAATCGCCATTAAACTAACATGAAACCACCATTTTTATCCATTTTTTTCCGTTGAACTCCCCTAAAATTGGTCCAGCAGAGTGCTTTTGCCAGCACCAGAGGCGCCCATGATGGCCATCATGCATCCACCTCGCAGGATGTGCAGCCAAACGTGGCTGCTTTGTCATGGGACATCATGGGACATCATAGAATCTTATAAATAAATATATATATATATAATATGTATATCATTAATAATACCTATATATATAATTATATATATACATGTGTATAAATTATTTATAAGATGTGTGTGTAAACATATACCATTTCCCATCTTTCTTTTCAAAAAATGGGGCCTTTCCAATGTGAAACGCACTCAACATCCGGCTTATCAAACATGGCTTGCTGAAAGCGAACACCTCCATTTAGTTCACGGATTTCCCTCCTTGCCATGATTGATTGCCAAAGGGTATATATTAAAGTTTGTGTTATGGCCGGCACAAACACACATATTATACACTTATACACTTATACATGTATACATATATACAAATATACATATATACATATAGACACATATATACATATATATATACATATATATACATATATATACATATATATACATATATATACATATATATACACACATATATATATACATATAAATATATACATATATATACAAATATACACATATATATACATATACATACATACATATATATACACATACATACACATACATACATACATACATATATATACACATATATATACATATATTTATATATTTATATATGTATATACGTATATATATATGTATGTATATATATATTGACAAACCATACATACACATGAAACAATACACATGGCCCATGGCTGACACTTGTGAATTTAACAACAAATTAAGAAATTGGAGCAGCATGATTAGTATAACATATATGATGCAGTCATATGCAGTCTACAAACTAAACCAATTTTCCCACATCTCAATCTTTACAAGGTGAGGACCCCAGTGATGTTTGTTGCTTTATAGCCCCATTAAATATAGTTATATCATCCATCAACCATAATTAACCAAGTTATGTGCATCAACTTCGCTATCACAAACCAATAACCAGCTCTAGATTCCGTGAAATTCTCATAGTTTTCTTATTTTTTCTTGGTTAGATCACCACTTTCCAATGGTTTGTACTTTCCATCCCTATCCTGGTTGGTTCACAAAGCGCCTTCCACGTAGCCTGATTGGCGATGCAACGTGATGCGCCGACCATGGGGAGTGCGGTAGGCCACTTCGAGGTCCTGAGAGCGTCGCGTTCAGTTGATGAAGGTTGGGTTAGAACTAAGGATCACTGGGGCTTCTGGTAGTTATACACTCTGGTTATTTAACATAGCTATGGAAATCACTATGTTTAAGAGGTAAACCATCTATTTCTATGGGCCATTTTCCATGGCTATGTTAAATAACCAAATGGTAACTGGAGGAAATGGGGTAAATCAACACACATAACCATGGTAATAACCAGGGTTTTGGAGATGTTTATGGTAGTTTTCTAAGTTGTGAATATGTGGAATTTCCCTAAACCAATAATGGTGTGTGTGTGTGTGCAACCGAAAGTTTGATATGTTTCGGGCGGGTGTTCCATAATGGTGTGTGTAAATCAACAAACATCATCGGGGCCCACCTGGTAGAACAACGGCTGCCCGTTGGCAATTTGACATATAGCCATAGAAAATGGTCCATGTATATTTACATAGTAAGCATGTTGACTTGTCAAGAGCTGTACTTATGGTAAAACCGGCATCATAATACATGTTCAGCAATCCAACATGTTTATCAAATGATGACCCATTCACAGTCTTCCAAGCTCCATATGCATATATGTGTATATATATATATATGTGTGTGTATATATGTATATACATACATATTATGTAAAGGCAGGCTCTATCTTAGTTGGGGGCCTTGTAAGGGACATTGGACAGGACAGTTTTTACCCAAATGTAGGGGTTATCGTGTACATGGTTCGGTTCTTGGGGTTGACAGCCATCCGCATCAACAGCTGATCTTCGAGACCCTCCATCTCTTAAGCTGCACATCCCATGTGAACAAAAAATGCATTTAGGTACCAAGATGAGCCAGGTTACAGTTTTGATCCGTCTTGATGGTTATGTTCAAAAGCAATTCTTGATGGTAACAACGACCCGTCAGCAGCGAAAGTTGATGACCTTCTTGCTTAGAAGGTGATGGCGTGATGCTTTTCCATGCTTTTCCTACACTATACCATAAACTACGGTTTTCTTCCATTTTCTAACCTATAACAGAAACATCCAGAAACTATAGTTCAACGCCGATGTTTGATGCTATCATCCACCAGTCCCAGCCCTTGAGCCCAGGCACCTGCCAACTCAGGGTGCAAAAAGGCACTGGGAAGGAGAGCTGGCGCTTTGCTTGCATGGCATGTAGGATCTGGGTACCTGGGCGGGCCTATGGGATGTCAAAAATCATGGCTCAAGAATAATCATCGCTTAATAGTGCTTAATCATTGGTAGATAATGGTAATATTGGTGAATGATAATAAATGATAATACTCGATAACAATACATATGCTGGATACTTAATGGATCATAATGGATCATAATCATAACGGGGTTGTGAATGGGAACGCTACCCTCCGGTGTGATCAACAGTGGCTAGCTGGAAAATCGTATCGGAAAAATAACATCTACAAAAATAGAGGTTTTCCATTTCCATGTTTCATTACCAAAGGCTAAAGAAAAATCGATGTACATTGGAAATTGGATAAAACTGGATCAAATGGGGAACAGTTACAGTACCCACCCCCGAATCTAAGGCAAACCATCAAAATGGACAAATTCTTCCAAACAATGCCATATTCTCAGCACATTTTCAGGCAGACCCGGCTTGGTGAGGTTTGCCCCCCAATTCACGACATTGGCCCAAGCAAGAGTCAAAGCCTCCCAAGTTATCATACAAGTTCTACCAGGCTCCCGTATGTCTCAATTGCGCCGGGTGTCTGATCTGCAAGGCATCGACACCATTCTCCGTGGAAACGGAGGAGAGCGAACTCATGGCGAGGTGGAAAGCAACCGATGGTGGGCAACGACAACAGCGGGGCTTTGTTGAAGCTGCTCTTGGGGCTCTGTTGGTCTTAAGAGGCTTGAACGGCAGCCCACTTGCGGGCGGGGCGTGTGAAGGATGACTGGTTTTCAAGGTTATTTATCCCATGACAAATAGCGAAAAACATCTGAAAACTGTCGGGGGTATTCTTTCCAAACGCGGGAAACTCAGCGCATCCGAGCCAGTTGGATGCAATTGGGTAGGTGATACCCAGGTGATGCAAGCGCAGGGTTTTGCACTATTTTGGTGGCTTCAGCAGCCACACAGGAAGCTTGGGAACATTATGGAACACTATGGAACATTATGGAGCATTATGGAACATGGAACATTACGGAACATTATGGAACATTGTGATGATGGTAAGCCATTCTGTTAGCAGAGAGGGCAGATTTTGTTGATTGGTTACAGAGGCTCTTCAAGGTTTGCTGGTGCTGCGCTAGAGCCAAATGCAGGACGCGCACCTGGGATCCTGGGCACAGCCTTATGGTTAATCCAAGTCACCACATGAATACACCCATCAATTCTCAAAAAACATGAAGCATCATGGAACCCAAAATCATCCCAAAATCACCAAAAAAAGATGGTTTTTCCCAGTACTTGCAGGATCACCCCAGGAATCGTAACTGGTTAATAACACTTAGTATGTCACCATTCAGTGGGTTCTCCCATTTATAACTGGGTGAAGTAACCCCCACTCACCAATTATGAAATAATATAAATAATGATTGGGATCCACCATTACTATCCATTAATTGCTATGATTCAAACAATGATTTCTACCTGGTACGTACTAACATCAATTATTATGGGAATTCCAGAATCCTAAACTGGAGAATTCAATGGGAATTCCAGGATCCTAATTCTTGGAGGTACTGCACCATGTAAAGCCATGATCTTTGTTTCTTTTCCCCTTACATAGCCCTATTTCTGGACCTTATATATTGTAGGTGTTGATCAATTATTATGATGATCAAAATATTGTTCATCCCACCAATTATGAAATAATGATTGGGATCCACAATTAATATTCATTAATTGGTATGATTTCAAAATGGTTTCTACTTGGTACTAACATCAATTATTATGATGATTATGATTATTTTCATGATCAACACTTGGTACTAACAATCAAAATAATCATTTTGTAACTATGTTCATAACAATAATTGATAAGATGATTATGATTACTCTCTGGTAAATTAACAGTTCGACCCTGAAAAAACACCAACTGTTAGTGGTTTCACTAATCTTCCAACCCCGATGACTGGCAGGACCCCTCCAGGGATGATCCCCAAGGATATTCCACCGACGCACCTGCTAGGCCCAAGATCCTCCAGGACCTCGCCGCCATGGGAGTGCTTGGAGCTGCGGTGCGCATCATATATGTTTTTTTTTTTCTATAGATCTACTTAATATGAGGTTGTTACTATAGAAAATATGTATAGCATATTTTAGCTGTCTATTCTATTCATGCAAGATTTAAGTGTGCCGGCAACTTTGAATCAGAGTCTAAAAACGGAATTGTTACGATGTACGAAAACTAACTTAGAGTGCTAAGATGATAAGATAAGATCATATGATACCCAGTGTAGCCATGTAGCAATGTAGCACGGCAAATCATATTTTTCTTATCCTAATGAAAATGTGACATCTTTCTTTGTTTGTAAATTCAACATGCCTGATACCCTCTGGTAATTCAACAACTTTGGAAAACATCATTTTGATTGCTATATCATGCTAGATCATCTATACATGGGACGTGTTCCATATAGGAAAATCACAATTTAAAATAGGTAAATCCTGGAACCACGATTTTCCGTTGATCCCAACGAACCTTGAGATAAGGAAAGCCATGGATTGTCCATATCTTATTGTACTGGAAGGTACGAATTATAAAGCCACAACTCAGATAAATGGCATGAATGGTCCGAGAAAATTGCCATAGTGCCTTGCTCCCCAATTGCACAGGATTTTGCCAAACCGTTTCGGCAAACCCCTTCCTGGCAACCCTCACCTCTTCAAAGTCATCCTCCTTCAAGGCCTTGTACTGATCCGTCCATTCCTGGTCCCTGCCCGGCGCCAGCAATGGATTGGTTTAGGTAAAAATGACAGGACCATTTTTTGACATCCAAATGGAGGGTAATTCCCAAAAGAGGTGTCCCTTGAACCAACTCTCGGATTTACAAGTTCAAACCATTCCCCAGTAGATACCTGGCATTTGCATATCTTTTGCCGCTTCGTATATATTTCAATTCACAGCGAATTAAAAATAGATAGTGCAAACTACCCACCCAAGGGTTTCCCAGGCATGGCCTGTTGCGCTGAGATATTCGCCTGTGCGCTGCGGTGGAGGGTTGTTTCACAAAGATATCAGTTTCCCAGAGTTCAAATTTGGTCTGGTGGTTTACAAGTAGACTAGCGGCTAGGTGAACTGTAGGATTGACGGTGGACATACCAACTAACTGGCCAGGGAGACCCGACTAAAATCTGGACACATAACAGAATGGAATGTAGGAGCTGGTGCCACTAGCATCCGCTAGCTGTTCCAATGGACAAACTGGTGGCTTTATTGACGTCTCTCATTTCAGCTCGAATAGCCCCGTTTTCATCTGTTCATTTCTTATCTGAGGAAGTGTAATCCAATACTCAAAACAAAACAAAACTAAACAACACCATTAGTCATTAGTCTTGTCATTGATATGAAATATATATATATATATGTATAGATAGATATAGACACCAAAAGCAAAAGCGCAGGACACCCCAAGCAGGTTGGATGCTCCAAAAATCTCCAAACCATCAGCAATCCGCAGCTTTGGATTGCCGCACCTGGACACCACGGTATAAGAGATTACACCCAGGAGCGAAATGACCACCCCCAGGCCATTCAGAAATGTCATAGGCTTGCTGAAGAGCAAGGCGCCACAGCCTGGAATCGGCTTGGGAAACGCCAAACAACGAGGCTTTCCTGTAACTTGTCCCTTTAAGCTGGGAATGGGCTCCTAAACCATCCTAAACCGCTATAAATAGTTGCACATCTAGTGGGTATACATTGCAAAGGGCAATCAAACCTTCGTTTGCGGTGTCCCTTTATATTCGTACAAAGACAGAGATGAACGAAAAATATCGCAACATCCCTTCGGCTTTCTTCATGTGCTTCTTGGTTACAACTACCAAGCTGCAACAAAAAGGGCCCGTCAACACGAGATTTCTCGGATTTCCTGCCGCTGTTCCCTGTTCGGCTCATCTGAGTTCCGCAACAAATGGTGCCCAAACGGCGAAGGATGTCAGTGACCTGGGCGTGGAAATGAGGCACCCTCAAATAGCCATTGAAATAGGGATAATGATGATTAACCAGTGGATTAACCGAGGTACCAATTTTTCAGATAAACCCATCAAAAACAAACGAAAATCACTCAGATACCTTGCAGTTGGGGGTGGTTGTTCAATGCGATTTTATGGTAATCCACGACTTGGATGATTTGGGGTACCATCATTTTAAGAAACCTCTAGGTGGAGGGTTGGGAAACTGTTACACTTTCCTTTTTGTTCTTTTTGGATCAGGGTCAAAAAATGAAAGTTGGAGTACGTATTAGACCACCATAATATCCATAATTTGACAAAACACATACAAAAACATGATTTTCCTTTAAATTCAATTCAGGAACTATATATATAATATATTATATATATATAATATCATTTAAGCCATTCCTTACTAAATCTGCTTAAGTAATCCATTACAGCATTAAACCAACAAACAACCAACTACACTTGCACATCCTGACAGCTCCAACCTTTGCAATCATCACACCTGGGGCTTGTTGAATCAACGTGGTCCCGAAGATATTAAAGAAATCGATCTTGAAAGGATCTTGAATTGGATTATATATGTCAAGTCCAATTACCCTAGATAAATAAGGATAAAATCTGATGTACATCATGTACAGCCCAATCTGTCTTGACCCAGCTTGACCAAAGAAAAGAACTGCCTAGACCCTCAATTGACACACAAAGAAGGTTACACCAACATGCCGGCACTTTGACATTGTTCGTCATGAGTACTTTGACGATGATATACGCAAGAAAGATTTCTAGGAGCAACTCTTACTGTAAAGTGATTATTTCATTTTATGAAAACAAATACCCTCTCTGAACCATGACGATAGGCAATCCCCAATAAATGGAGGTTTTAGATGGTTTTAGTGGGAAAATGATCAAACTAAGGGGATTTCCACTTGCTATATTTGACCACGGGAGGGTAAAACAAAATGATGAACACCGGATACAATTCCTTTCTGCCAGCCTTCCCACCTGCGGCTGCCCAACTAAGTCACCACACACTGAAGGCCAGGGGATTGCACAGTGCTACGAAAAGAAAATTGAAGGTGTATTCGACCTGGGGTTGCGGTGTCTGATCCCAGAGGCTACTTTTGTCAATTGTGATGGGAGTAATGATCAATGTATACCCTCCGCTAATCCAAATGTGGGAAAAATCCTCTATGAAGGTTTTCATGGGAGAATAGAATTGGTAACTTCAATTTGCTGAAAATGGAAAAATCGACGACGATTCCCAATAATCGACTTGAAGGTAGATCAACCAGTTGGATCCCCCCAAACAAATACATTTCCAGCAACACCTATATATATAATTATTATATATACATACATACATTACATATATATATGTATGTATATATATGTATATGTATATATATATATATTTAAATAAATATGTAATGTATATATTATATATATAATAATATAAGTGCGGGCAATATCGAAGGATACAGTCTATATCCCCACTAGTTGGATGGTCACCCTCCGACCCTGGAAAATTCCCATAAGCGATCATCCGGGGTGTGTGCAAAGAGTCTTGGGGAGTGGTGATTGGCTGCACTTCAGGTGCATCAAAAAACCATGGGATGCTTCAGGTGGTTGATTGGATTACCCTGAAGGTCCATTATTTGTTGGCTCTACCATCTCTACCTATCTATCAGTCTCTTGGTCTGTCTATCTATCTGTATGTGGAATGCATATGTAATTAACATCCACGGTCTTATTGCTAACATATCATAGGATTCTTTCAAAAATCATTGACTCTACACCCATATTTTGGCCCCACAATTCTGCAGAAAGAAGCATTACTTATTTCACCACCCCGAAAAGCTTGGCTCAGGATGCTTCCCTCAATTCTAAGCATAGTCTTTTGGTCACACATGTATCAGCATCTTTTGGTTGCAAAATCCGTGCAGTTATGGCCCTTTACCACCTATAACTGGTTATAAATGGGTGTTTATCACTCCATAAATGGGCAAAAAAACTGACTTACAACTGTTTTTTTCGTGCCATAACTGTGGCTAAACATATGTTTTTTTTTGAAAGTTCCATCCACCAGGAGCCCGCAACGTGGTAAGCCAGGGCTGCCATAGCAACCACCTGAGGCTGCCATAGCATCTCTTGATTCAGTGAGGACATGGGGATAGCTCGGAGGATTTTATGGGCAAATCATGGTTTGTTTATGTTTGTTTAGTGGTTAGTAATGGTTAATCATGGTGAATCATTGATAATAATGAATACTTAATAAATCTTAATGGTATATTAATTTATAAAATGGGATATTCTAACGGCTGAAATGATATGCCCTCAATCAAACGTGGCTGCTCCGGGGCGCTGTTCCATTTTTAAGCGGATATGTAATTGTAGCAACTATAGTTATATGGGATATACACCGAACCATTCATATCACCAAGCTATATAAGTGGATATATCCCAACTAATGGAGTTATTACCATGTTTATACAATGTTTATACCCATTTATAACCCCAACCTATGGATATCCCAACTAGGATTCATCCCAAAATTTGGGATGTGAAAAAATGCGTTCTCAGCAATGGACACTGGCGGTTTCAACAGTAGCCAAGAGAAATGAAGTTACAAGCTACCCTCTGGTAAACTAACATAGCAAACTGGAAAATTACAATCTTTAATGGGTAAATCAACTATTTCTATGGCCATTTTCAATAGCTATGTTAAATTACCAGAGGGTATAAGTTACAATGGGGCTACAATGTTGATATGATAGGGGGCAGCCACCGTAAATAGATACTCCATGGCGATATGGGACTGAATAAGAACCAAATTATTGGGATAGTGGATGTAGAAAATCAGCCAGCTTATGGGGATATGAATGAGGATATAATGGGATACATTACCAACAATATGATAACTTGGGTTGTCTGAAAATGTGGCTATACTCCCAATATAGACATATATATATATATACATAACTGCTATCTGGTGTAATTTTAATGGGAGAATGAGGCTTTGAGCCATCGATTACTGGGGTACCATATTTGCAAGTCTCAACCCTGCAAATATCTATACATGTATATACACCACTCGGGAGTCAAAGTCTGTTCATTGCTTATACTTTCCAATAATTGTGATGACTAAAGCTCGAATTAGGCCAGAACTACTCATAAACCATGCATCAAATATTTTGATTGCTTTGCCACTGCTGAACATTTTGGATGTAAAGGTAGGGTCTGAATAATAAGTGGTAATAAGCCACATTTATGAGCTGTATAGTTGTCCATAATTGCAGAAGAAACGCATGGGATACAGAAACTCCAACAGGAACTCTGGGCATTGTCTGATGATCAATCCTGAGGAACGATCATTTCACTGTACTTGGGGGTGGCTTTCAACTAAACTTGTGCTAGCATACTAATGCATGTATGCATGTACAGTACATTTTTTCTTTCTTTGCATACTTTCATTCAAATCTTGGTGTGTTCAATGAAGACATGCCCATCTTGCTGAGTGACCATCTGACAAACCTGTCACAGGGGCAATCTTCCCATTTCGAGCCCATTTAGTGATTTCCCAGCCAGGTTTGATGACGCCGGGGATTTCCCTGCACCAAAAGTGATTATCTCAGGAAATCCCCAAACTGAATATAGATATTTCAATGGGAAATTCAGCTCCTGAATTCCATTGCCCCGATTAAAGGGTATCCATGGCCATCACATCCCGGCCGTCGAAAACCACGCCTTCATTGAGGTTGGGCATGGGTCCTCTTGCGAGAGACTTAGACACGTCGTCACGACTCCACTGCCGTCATCCTACACGCCGGGTGAGGTGCATTAGAAAAACATGGGCCGGAAACGCTTGGGTCATTTTACTTGTTTAAACCCAAGAGAAAAAACGTCAACACATATGTGTATATATATACACATATGATTATATATGTATGTAACCCACACGCGCAGACATGCCACACACACATATATATATATACATATATATATACATGATAAGGGACCAAAACAAGGGTCACAAAGGTGGTCATAAGCAACGGTTATCGCTTTAGGTGGTTCGCTCTATATCGCTTTACATGGTTTTTCGCGTTCTCGCTCAATGTAGTTTGAACGACCGCTCAAATAAGAGCTTCTGCAAGTACCTTTCAGGTCTTTCCTCGTATGTATAAACCAAAAAATATATATATATAGTTGACCTTGACCAATAATATGGATGCTAGGATCTATATAGAGAAAAAACTGGTATGTTACGGTCGTTTTCCTCTGCGATTTTGTACCTCGATAAGTGCCACCACGTCACGAAAAACGATCAGTGGCCAGCTCAGTGAAATTACACTCGTCACGACTTGTCAGGAAAAAAACGGCCGAAAAAGATGCTTTGAGTCATAAAATTCCATGGTTCCATTATCCATATGCTCCATGTATGGAATATTTACCAACATTTACCCCATAAATCACCCAAATGTAGGTAAATATACACATGGAGCATATGGGTTATTGATTATTAAATTATATCCCATTATATCCCATTAAAAACACAGGTTTTTCCCATTAAAATTCGCGATGTTCCAGTCACCACCAGCTGGGGAACTTCTGCAGTTCATCCCAGGATATCCCAGGATATCCCAGCTACAAAGTGGTGCCCCGCAGTGGTGTTTGTTGGTGATAAGTTATAAGCCACATCAAGTAGTTCAGAAAAACCCTCTTGTAAACATACAAAAAGCTATTGAACATGACCATAGAAATAGTGAATTTTCCCACAAATGGTGATTTTCCATAGTTTTTTGTAAACGTTTACCAGAGGGTATCTACTGTAAATCCAATTCTTAACCCTACTCATAAACCATCCTAAACCAATGTTGGGAACAAAATTCGGCGCCAATCTCAAGGCTTTCACCTCCATGGCTCTGGCCCCTGGAAAACCCCTAAAGTGTTTCAACATCTTGAAATCAGTTGAAACAGCCAAAAATGGGTTGAAACATGTAAAAACCAATCAAGGAAGCTGATCCTAAGTCCTAAGCCACCAAACTTAGGTTATGCCAAGCAAAAATCTTGTTTTTCTACGAGTGCCTGGCCTTCGCGTATGACACAGCCAGCAAGGGAAGCGACAACCCAGTGCACACGGTGGCCATCACCGTGAATGCCTGCCATTTGGTCCAAAGGGTATCATCATGGGACCCACAACTAGGCATTATGGGGATTTAACGATAATGGAATTCAACCAACAAACGCTGGGATATGATGGGCAGTTAATCCAAAAACATATGGGGACCATGAGCCATGGGGTATACACTGAATAATACTCCCAACATAGCAACCTACAAACAAATAGAACAGTTTGAAACACGCAGATCATGAGGAAAATAAAAACATCCTGCAAACCCGTTTCCTTTTTTTCGAAGGGTTTTACTTTATATGGATCCATATGCCTGCTATATGGCATGTTAATGCATGCTATAACAACTCATACATGAGGGAAACGTCAGGTGATTCAGATCAAGTACATCCTTAGCAGAGAGGTTAAGCAAACATAAGAAAACAAAGAACTGCTCAATGAACAAAACATGTCAAACAGAGAACTTCAGCAACATATATTGTTGGAATATGATGGAATTAGAATAGCAACATATTGTAATTATCTACAAGCGGAGGGAACCGCAAGGTACCACCTGCTGTCCGGATTCCAAACGGGAACAATGATGGGCAAAGACCATTTAAACATCAAAAAAACATAGCGGCCATGTAATATAATGAAATAAAATAAGTATGTACAGTAGGCACAATACCAAAACCCAAGTTCAGTCAATTTGATTGATTTTCTTGTGTTCCAAAGCAACAGCTGAACTTTGAAGGTTTGACATTTGAATGTCACGTGCGCGTGTACAGTAGTCAAACCGGGGAATATCATTACAAGAAGGGTTTGCTCATATCGTGATGTGAAAATAGATAGCATCTGGACATCGAAGTTGTGGTGTCGTACAGTTTCCAAAAGCATTTTTGGCAGGAACGAAAGAAGGTACAGGATGACTCCATACAATCTCAATGTAATGAGTATAAGAACTATATGTCCCAAATTTGTATCCAAGGTTGTTTTGTTTGTTACTCCTTTCGAAAAGCACTGCTTTGAACTATGGCCAATCAGCCAGATACCCTGCACAAAAATGACAAATTCTTAGCTAGTGAACGTAGATAATCCCATTGATACCAAAAGACTAGAGGATTAGTTTCTACCCAACCGGCCACGGCGTTAGCAAGTACCCATCCCATCCAGGTGATTGACCTACAAACTGGTTTAAATGCAATTTTTCATGACCATATTCCATGATATTTCCATTTATAACCAGTGATGCCCTCTAGTAAACTAAGATAGCTATTGAACATGGCCCATAGAAATAGCTGATTTACCTATTAAAAATTGTGATTTTCCATCGTTTTTTGTATGTTTACCAGAGGGTATCATTTACCTTATGATACTACAGTCTGAAAGTCAGTTGGGATTATGATATTCCCAATATATATATATATATCATATATATATATCATATATATATGGAAAATAAAATTCATGTTCCAGTCACCACCAATCAAATGATATTCCCATTATAAGCAGTGATAATCTTCATGGTTTCCCCGTTTTCCCATGGTTTTCCCATGGTTTTCCCAGGACGCCACGACGCCTCCATCCCGGAGAGCTTCAATTCCTGGATCCGATCCTGCGCCGTCCATACATAGATATTCATATGAAGATATAGGTTATATATAGATATTATAGGTTAATGTAGGTTAATGTAGGCTAATGTAGGTTAATATAGGTTAATATAGGTTGATCATAGATATTAGGAGATACATATTGGGCAGAAAAATGATACAGGGAAACTGATATTTAGCTAATATATTCATATAATACAATTTAAATTGATATTTTACTGAAATTCTACATCAGTGTGACGGTATATTACTGATAATACATATTAATATGAATATATAGGTATTAATAGTATGATAAGTAGAACTGGTATGATGTATATATTAGTAATGTAGAACTGATATATGATAAGTAAATTGATTAATATGAATATATAGGTCACTCATGCACATTAGGAGATACATATTAGGCATGTAACTGATAAGAAAATAATAATGATGATGGATCTCCTAATGATGGGCATATATAATCCATATGAATTGTTTACACGGATCCTTATAATTTAATGCGCCTATAAAAACCCTACGGAAATGAATTGATGACCATCCCCCCAACATGGGTACATAATCCAACATTTTGACCATGGCTCATGTGGGAAGCACAAGAATACGCTACATTTTCTGGACATTTTTTTTGGCACCGCCCTCCCTCCTCAGGGTCAAAGGTGGCAAATGGATTATGGTTTTTCTTTTGATTACCAATGTACCACATTGCGTCCGTAAATTCGCATATGTAAAAACGAATACATCGCAGACATCCCACCCAAGTTGCAGTGATTTTGGTTCTATTACTCATGTCATTATGATCCATAGCCATACCGCCACAGGCATATGCGACCACACCCACAAACTATTTCCATTTGCCCATGCCTACTTCGTCAATCTCCAAACAAATCTGCCGTATCGCATCTACACATGAATGTAAAAATGTAAAGCAATGCGAGTACTATACATCTATCTGTATACATCTGTCTACATATGTATATACACAGAGAGAGATATATATTAATATTATATATACATTTTAATACATACCCTCTGGTTATTTAACATAGCCATGGGAAATGGCCCATAGAAATAGATGGTTTACCGTTCTTAAATATGGTGATTTTCCATGTCTATGTTAAATAACAAGAAGGTATATATGCACACCGCATGCTGGACGATTTTGTTCACTGCGCTGTGAAGGCGGGTGGTTTCCATCCCCAAGGTGCGGGCCTACAAAACGGGCATCCCAGGAAATAGTAAGTGGGTAAGCGAACATATCATAGCCCAGTTTATATCCATATATAAGGCCTATTTTTTAGGCCTATGTAAGGGAATATACACCCAAAATATGGCCTTATATGGTACAGTACCTCCATTTTAGGATCCTGGAATTCCCATTGATTATATGGAACATTCCAATTGGATTTCATGAGTGTATACATATATATATATATATCATTGTCTAACTGATGACTGGGAATGCTCCACAAACTAAGTCATGAATCTAACACTTATTAAGTAAATCGTTATATATATATAGGTTTCCTAAAATAGGGGTACCACCAAATCATCAAATTGAATAAGATTTTCATAGATTTCCAGTATAAACCATCCATTTTGGGGTATCCCATTTATGGAAACCCCCATGATAGATCCCAGTGAGATTAACGACTAAGTCCACAGGAATCTCTCTCTACGGCCATGCCTTGGAAAAAATGTTCAGCAGAGTCTGTGCCATAGAAGAGCCTAGCCTCAGATCCAACAGCAGATCCCATGCCATGACTTGGGGAAACACAATTCGTCCGCTGAATGAGCTGCTAAAAGCTGGTTTGCTGCTATTGTATATGGCAATTGAATTGCTTATTTGAATAGTGCTACGTATATTTTTCATTTTGACCCATTCAACATGCCATAGCTATTTTGTCAATATGAATACCGCAATGTATGCAATAATTATGACAATTTCTGGGGTTGGTAATCTGAGCCGCAGCATGGCATAGCAAGAATGGCGTTGCCATTCCCAAAATGGCAATTATATAGTTCATCTGGGAACGGCAATCCGGCAAACTTGGATTTGCAATCGGACTTTTACAAAGACCGAGCAGCAGATTGAGTTGTGGTGGCTGGCGTTACGGAATTGTCGATGACCATAAGCTGCTGACATCAAAACCACATCCGAACCCGCATAGGACCACTGGCTTTCAGGCGTCGAATTCATTCTTGGAGAAAGGTGACCAACTGGTGGTTTCAACCTACCCCTCTGAAAAATATGACTTCTTCAGTTGGGATTATATAAAATTCCCAAGATATGGAAAGTCATAATCCATTCATGTTCCAAACCACCAACCAGCCAACTGTTCTGTTCTGATTTGGGTGTTTCAAAACCAATCCCCGCACTGTGAATTTCCAAGGCCCATGCGCACACAGCAAACCAAGCCTGAGACAACGACACGAAGCGAAATTCACCTTCCTAACCCCTGGGGTAGTGTTGATTTTTTCATTCCCGCCTGGTAATCAAACATGGCTAGCTGGGAAATCCCTAACGAAATGGAAGCTTTACAGAGAAATTATCCATAAATGATCGACTTTACATTGCAACGTTTGATTATACCGGAAGGCCTTAAAACCACTTCTGGGACGCTTGGTTCTCTCACTCTGTCAACCCCCGGGGCAGTTCCACCTCTTCGCACGTTGTTTTTTTTTGGTTTTCTTCATCACCCAATGGATGGAGAAAAGCAGGCAATACCGGGCATGCATGGGATTGAAAAAGACATGTACATGTTCACCCGCATATAATATAGATATACATCTGCAAATGCAAATCTATAATTTGTACAATGTACAATATACCCCGCCCCCCACCGAAGCAAACAAATACTTTGACACTTTCCAGGCGAAAGGCAACATTTAACTCTATGCCCATCCTATGAAAACATACAGGTACTTCAATATAACTATGGTTTGATATTGGCATAAATAGCAATGTGTAAATTCGAAGATATGCGGAAGCACATGAACAAATCGTATCAGTAAGATAAATATGGATATTTCAAGTGTATTTCAAGTGTATTCCCATCAATATCGAATGCACCTCCGGGACTCCACCCTCACCCTTTGCAACCGCGTTGCAAACTGCACTCCACATCAGTGGCACTAGCAATGGAAACGCCCATGCAAACTGGCCTCAGGTGTGTCTTATGGGGTGAGTGCCCACTGATCAGCGATAAATCAACAGCAACGGGAATATGGACATATTCACCGACAAAACAATGAAGTGAAGCAGCCAATAGAATAAAACCACCAAACATAGGGAATAAAGTGAACAAGACTCGGAATATCTATGGAAGGTTCCCCCAAACATCGATTTTGACCAAAACCATTGGGTTTCCAGCAATGCCGGGGACAATTCGACAATGAGTGGTTGATGATATTAACATCCCTAAACAAAAATGGCAACGGGGTGATGGGTACCCAGTGAGATATCCTTCACGCCTTGAAAAACGAAGCCCTTTAAAGCGATTTTTAAATTGGCATATCAACAAAAATGAGGTGCTTACCAACAAAAGTGTATTTTCTCAATCCCACCAAACCCCTGACAGGGGCTAAGGAAAAAAACATGTATTGATTGATATATCAGAAGGACATTCACCAACAAATGCGTTTGACAAGAACGAATGATTAAGTGATATTAAGTGGCTAGTGGTGGAGCAAAAATATTACCAACAAAAATCATATATTGAGATTGTCTCGGAAAATATTCACCAACAGGGATATCAAGCCACGAGGATTGAGCCGGTCATCTTACATGTTTAATTACCAGTCAAGTCTGTAGAACTAAAGTATATTATGTCAATTTTGTACCCTACAGTATAAAGTTTTTGGAACTCAAGTATGATAACTATATCATTTTTAAAGATATCTTTATATATCATATCCGAAGTTTCACGTCGAAGGTGCACTAGGTCCGACACTGCAAGTCCAAGTGCAGCGATCATCCCAGCACCACATTTCAAACACTACCGGACATGGATGTCCATAAAGAACACAAAGTCATGAGAGAGAGAGATACATAGATCTGGGTAAATCATAATATTACCTGAATTAAGGCCATTTGGGGATGATTTCCCTTATTAACCATGATTCCAGTGAGGTCGCAGTGAGGTCGTTATAATTTACCATATATATATATGCACTAATTATTGACATGTATGTAGGACACTTTCGATTAAACAAATGCGTAGGACAGGTTCATTCAAAAATGCATTGGAGATATCCTAAGTCATGATTTTCGCAGCATTTTGGAATAATATACATTTTTCGGTACTTTCAGGTAGAATTCTCTTTGGAGTATCCTATCTTTGAAGAAAATCTCACGATTTTTGTTAGCCCATTTTGGGTTCCCAGCAGCAGCGATATATAGATCGGCACCTCGAAGCGTTGGCCTCCTCGGAACATCATCACCGTGGACAAAAAACCATGGTGATTTCATAGGGATTTCAACCAGTGATTTACACAACTGGTTAAAATCCCATATAGAATTCCAGCTGGGATTTCATAGGGATTTTTGAGCTTCAGCAGTTTCCATGGTGGATTTATGGGATTCAACCAGGTAAACTTCAAGTGTAATTCTAAATTCCTATACCCTTCAGTATATGTATGTATATATATATATGTATCATAAATTATATAAAAGCGTGTGTATCAATCCCTCATCTTCTTGATTTTTCGTTTGATCCTGAATACTGAAGCCTAATACATCCTAATACTGAAACTCAAAGAGCTTATGCTGCCATGCTAAGGGGTCTTGGCCGTGAGGAAGGAGCGTGTCATCAGTTGACGGGCCAACATGGAAAGACTGAGGAGCCCGGGCGGATTCGACAACACATCACCTCACTGTCGCATAGAAGTTAGCTGAACCAACATGGCTAATTGCCTGAGGTGAAAAAAGGGAGGGGGTTCCAATTATGGTTCCCCCAAAATGGATGGTTTATCATGGTTTATAATGGATATCATTAAAATCGACGATTTGGGATACCCCATTTTTAGGAAACCTCCATGTGTCATTGCCAGGCTAGATCACCAAATCCTATTCACTGGACATGGGCAAGCACTGTGAAGAACTAGAGTGAATCTACCAGGATATCATGAACTGAAGCTGCCTGGTAGTATCTTCGTTCAATTTGGATCGCTCCGTGAGTCTATCGTTCTCCCCCAGTTTTCTGTTCGCTGAGATCCTCCAGCCCCATCCAAGTCCGATATCACAATGAGGTCGCTGCAATCTTCATAATTTACCATCTGGGAATTAAACTAACATAACTATGGAAAATCACCATTTTGAATAGGTAAATCAATTATAAATGGTACATTTTCAAAAGCTATGTAGCAAATTACAAGAGGGTATCTGGATTGCGAAAAAACATCGGCAATTGCATGCCGACTCTTAAGGAACATCGGGTTTCCAGCTTCGTAGTTTCCCAATTTTGGTACACCCGTTTGTGGGTTGGGCTACAGTTTCCAGTGACATCTACAAAAGAAACGGGGCTGTCTGTTGCTTGGTTGTTGAAGTCTGTGTTCCTCGACAACAGGGTATCATTAAAATAGTGGACATCATGGGTAAAACTAATGATGCAACCATCCCCAATATCAGCAGAAATGGATGGTATAAACCCTCCAAAAAGTCCCATCCCCCTAGTGCTAAACATCCCCTTAAACGGTCCCACATAGGTGATTTCATCCCCTACTAAACCATGGTTTCTGGGGGAGCTTTTGAGTATAAAAGGGGGAACAGATTAGAGGTCTATTATTCGGTTTACCGGATTATAGTAACCCCCCAAAATTTCGAAAGGTGTTTCCAGGATGGGAGTTCGATGATGTGTACCTCATAGTTGCAGCTTTCCAACTATTCTATCTATTTGTCTTTTCTATCTATTTGTGGGTTGCATTAATTATGAACCCACAAAAATAGCCCCCCCCCAAAAAGAAGGCACCGAACCGATTGCCGCGCCACGGTGAAAAAGGGGATCAGACTCTTCACCACCTGACGAGGAACAAAAATCACTCAGAAATAACTGGAGCCTCGCCATTAAGGATCTTCTATGAATCGTCGAGTTTTCGTCGGCACCAAGTGCAGGCAACTGATATTGCATGCTACTTGTTTATCCCCCGATATTCAATGGGAATTTCAGGATCCTAAAATGGAGGTTCTGTACCATATTTTTGGCCAGATATTTGAGGTTCCTGAAATGGCCATTGACCCAAGGTATGGTTTGAAGATATGGTAGTCATCGAAAGCCCTCGAAACCTTCCGTGATCCAACTCTTTGAGCATTGCGCTGGGAATGGGGCTAATATGGGTCTATATAAGGAAACTACACCCGTTCACAAATCAGAATCAAAATGAATAAGCCATAAATAAACCCATTCAGTTGGATGGTTTTCCTACTACAGCTATCACTGCGGTTGGTCGCTGTGAGGTTACCATGAGATTGCTATGATTGGTTCAGAGTCATTGGGGGCCCCTTGGCGTTTCCACCAACGCAGCCAAGAGACGTAGGTTAACGTCACCCCGGAGCATAACCTGAGATCCACAACAGGGCTGCAGCTGGTTCAGCTGGTAGCAGTAGATGTGATAGTAGGATGTAGTAGGTCCAACATCCCATTGAACAGTTCAAACCTGGTGGTGTAACATACCAGCGACCACATGCCGCACATTTCACCCCATCGGGTGCTCTCAACTCAGCAAATGGGCTTCAGCTTAGAAGGGCATGGCGGGGGCATAGGACAGTAGTGAAAGCATAGTTTGATGTGATCATACCCCACTACTATATATAGCACCCCCCCAAAA